TAAAGTTTACGAGCTTTTTTTTCCAGATATTGATGAGTGATCCACTGATGAACATGGGTGTGAAGATATCTGCATGAACCAGTAAAAAATTTCCGTTTCCAATTTTCAGAATATGTGTGATTTTCATGAAATACTCAAAACTTTCATGTTTTTTTGCAATTGATTTAGAGACAAAATTAGCAGATTAATTATGTTGAAAATCCGAGCGACTAGATGACAAATTTGTGAACCTTTCAATTACTGGGCACGTTTTACAGCAATACCAAATTCGGTTCACAAATTTGTCACCCTGTAGTATGGATAGTATTACACAGTCCCAAATTTGTGAACCCATGACTTCCAAAGTTGACAACCAACTTTGCTAAAATTTCTGAATATGCTAATATACACCTTGTTTTTTTAAGAATATTATTTAGAGGAAGAGTGCTGGTTTTTAGAAATGGCACTTTTACTTGAGACACTGTTCTGAGGGATTGCATCTATGTAGCTGTAGAGAGGGCTATGCTCTGAATGGAGATGGAAGAACCTGCTCCATATATACAATGTGAAGGGAGATTAAAAGAAGCAGCAAGTGTTTCCACACTCCTTCTGCCCTCTCCTTGAAGACTTCCACTGTGAGTGGGAGATTGAGAACATGACTGACTAAGTAGATAGCTAGCTTTTAATGAGCCCAATGCGATCGGTGCATGGTCGTGCTCCATGTTCAACTGACTATGTGGAAGTATATACTAGATGGAGGAGAGGAAAACTCTCCTTCTCTTGGGAAGTATTGTTCCTTGAGGAGACCAGACCCTATTTTAACTTTATCAAACAGAGCCAAAGTTGTGTTCAAAGGAAGTACTCGAATCCGTCCTCCCAGTAGAGTTGGTGTTTGTATAACTAAGACAAGGTTAGCTCTCAACCTATAAGTTCACTTGGTGCAGTATCCATGTTATTCAATCAATCATTGCACTGACTCACTAGGGCATGGCAGGTACATACATACACAAGTCAGACAAAACGTGTAGAGAGCGAAGTCTAACTGTACAGTATAGAACTAGAGCACTCTCCCCAGTCGATACGTTGTAGAATTAACTGTGCACCATCATTGGTGGTAGTTGAAGTCGCATAAGACAGAATGTGGACGGACATTAAATTAGAGGCACTAGTGACCGACACCCACTCCCACCACCAACACCACGGCAGATCACGAGCCATCGAATACCAGCTGTTGGCAAAATCAGCCCCAAAGAGGCTACCCTTCTCACCATGGGAGCAGAACAAGTACGACCCGTCGATATTGCGACCGCTGGATATTTTACTTGCCTCCCTGCCTGACTTGCCTCAAAAACAGGTGCACTTGAGTAATGATTGGCACATTGTGCTTTTTAAACTCACACATAATGGTTGACTTCAGTTCCTTTAGCTACATTTTATTTTAGCGGAAAAGTGCGCAATTACATACGTATAAGTCGTGCATTCATCTGCACATATGATTGAAACTGCATGAAAATCACAAATGCATGATGACCTATATACCAGGGGAGGAGATGAGGTTGAGCCTCGGTCTCAGTCGAGCGAAGACACCATAAGCCTCCCGGTACCCTCGGCGCGCATGCGCAGCGAGAGTACGATCTGTGTGTGTGTGTCTGTCTGTCTGTCTGTTACTCAACATCTCACTTCTCCAATGTTCGTTCTCTCACAAACGATACGACCTACTTAGCGGGCAATGAAGGTCAGATGTTTGGAGCGGTTTTCACTGAAAATGCTGCGTTCGAGAGTTACGGCGTGAACACTAACGAAAAAGCCAATATGCTAATATAGCACAGCTTACCTCGGTCTGATCCACTTGCTCTGCGTACCTCGGAGGCAAGTTGCAACCAGGGCGTGTATCGCCTTCGCATGCTATCAAGTAGTGTAGCTAGCCCCAGTCTCACTCTCCATGCACGAGCAGGCAAGAGACGACGAGTATATACAGTGGTAAAGGAACATGAATAATACAAACCAGAAAAAAGGCAAAACATATTGTAAGGGGAGTTGTTCAGTCCTGGGTATAGATGTGGCCTTCTGAGCAAGCCACATCCATTGAGTCCCCTGAGAAGGTTGGGTGGTGGTAGGTGGACCTTGCTCCACGGAGGCACATGATGGCAGATCTGCTCAGGCGGCAGATCTGCTCAGGCGGCAGATTTGCTCAGGCGGCATCGAAAACCGGTATATACCGCGCATGCGTTTACGTATACGCTGAGGGTCAGTGTTCACACAGTGAATGAGTGTGAAATTCAAAACGGCAGTTGTGCTCACGTATGCCATAATTCATACTTGTGTACTTGTCATGAGGGTTATAGCATCGAGGGCTACAGTCCAGGTACTTATATATTACACGAGCGAGCGAAGCGGCCACTACGCGAGTCCGCGTTACAAGCGAGGAAGGGCTTACTGCGACCTAATGCGATCGCTCTGTATCTTAGAAGCACAAGAAGTCACAACAACGGGCGTGCTATCTACTAGTGTAGCTTGCCAGTGTCAGACTCTTCGCGAGATTCAGAGACTAGACTATATGCGTGGATACAAAGGGTATCCCCCATCAATTATCGATACCGCTTGCGCAGTGCGCTGAGAGTAACTGTAATGTTATGTAACGCTCACCAGTCACCGTGCGCTGTGCTAATAGCGAACCCAGCCTAATACCATTTAATGGAAACCTATTTCTCAACCAGAGGTTTAGTTGGTGCCCTGTTGCTTACTTTATCCTGTGTGGCTCAAGGTAATAGTCTATTCTATTGTCTATAATTTTGTTTATCTTTTCCAGAGATTCTCCATGCTCCCGGGAATACAACTGTTTTTCTAAACCAATCAGCAGTTTTTACATGTGAGACAAGAGGCGGGACCACTCTGTGGAGAGTCAATGGAACACAGCGAGAAATATTTCTGCCTAACATACTTCGTGATCTGGTTGTCTCAGAGATTACAACTTCTGAAGGTGTTTTGGTGACGAATCTGACCATCCCAGCTAGAGCCCAGTACAATGGAAGTATAGTTCAGTGTCTGTGTGTGGTATATGGTGGCCCCTTCGTGGAGAGTGACAATGCCACAGTGACTATTCAAGGTATTAGTTATTAAATGAGTTTGAAGTTAGGAAATTGCTTATATACCATATCTTAGGTCCACTGTCAGCAGTAGGTGATATGAGAGTAATCAGCAATGCCAGCTCAGTGACCATCTCGTGGAGTGCTCCATTCTCTCTGGATGTGACTGGTGTTGATCCTGATATCTGGTACTCTGTCCTCATCTACAATGTGACAGATGAGAACAACCCAACAGCCATCCTCTGTACTGACTGCATCAATATCACTGAGACACACTACACCTTCACTCCTGACTACCTCAGTCCTTGTCATGTGTACAACTTCTCTGTCATCCCCCTAAATGGAGCTGGCCAGGGAGAGAGCAGTTTTAATGCTACAACTATCGTGGTTGGTGACAGTGAGTCAATCACACCAGATGCACACCAATTTTTATAGCACCAGGTTAACAATCCACTTGCTTGCTTTATATATAGGTGGAAATATATCCCTCTCAATAATTGACATTGCACCTAGTAGCAAGTCATTCTGCAGTGTTAGCCTTAATGTTGTGGTAAGTCGTTTCAAAAGCCAATTGAAATGCACCCAATTGTATGGGGATTTTAATGCAGGGACTTGGCAATGTGTGTCACCCAATTCTCAGTGAAGCAAACAAGAGTTTCTCTGATATTCATGTTGTAGATGAGCAAGTGTTCCTCTTCCTAATGCTACCTGCAAACAAAAGATACTTCATGTACCTTTCAATAAGAAAAGGCTGGGTATCTGCAACCATAGCACACCTATATTTCAGTAAGATGAAACATATGGATGAATTTTGCATTTGTGCATTAGTACATTAATTCAGTTGACCATTTCCTACAGCAACCTATGATGTCCAAAGATTGTCAGTGGAAGAGAGAGGAGTAGGAGGAGTATTAGTGAGAGGGGAGTTCATGAGTGGGTCACGAGCTACAGGATGTCTAGTGGTCTTCGAGGGACCTCCCTCCTCTCCTGACATCTCAGAGCTCTCTGAGGACCCAGTCTCAGGACACTGTCTCCACCACGGTACCTGTCCCTCCCTCCACTTACACTGTGTATGGATACGCCCTTGAGGAGAATGGACTACCCAACACCACGCCTGCTGTGATACTGGAGAGTCAGCTAACTATCAGCAAAGGTATTCTACTACGAGTCCAGATAATACAAATGCATTCCTGATTTTGCAAAGGTGCTACATTGGTTAAAAGTTCTCAACTATTAAAGGATGCCGATATAACATCTGAATTAGGATCAACTACAGTGATAGACTGTGAATTCTCAGAGGTCTATCCAGAGGCCTCATGTGTCCTGGTCTACAGAGAGTATGGCAGTCCTCTCCTGACAGTTGTGGAGTTGTCTCAGCTCATCAACTTCCCTGTTTCTATCACTGTGGACAATCCTGAGAACTACACCTATGCACTGTTTGGGAAAGACAGCACAACAGGAACAGAGGAAGAGCCGGTTATTTGTATCAGGTTGCACCAGATCAAACATTACTTAGTGAGTTATAGTTAATGGACAGCAGTTTGGTGCATATATACATACTGCAGATAAGACACTGGATTCCGAAAAGAAAGAAGAAACAGAAAGTGGGAGAGATGAGAAAAACAACTCCCAAACACAACATGTTGCCATAGCCATTGGGGGTACACCCTTTTGTCAAAACAATCATGTTTACTTATTCTATCCAGCAGGGGCTGTATTGATATGTGTTTTATCATGTGCCTCTGGTGTGCTAGTCTTCATGACAGTCAGGCGGTACAGAAGCAAGAAAATAAAAGATAAAAGTGCGGGTGAGGCTACGCACAATGTTGTTCTAATTAATGTTTGGGGCACATGCACTGTTGGGAAGAGGCTCCGTTATGTATACATTCCATAGCCCCAACTGTCCAGACCAGAAATGCTGTGGTGTATGATGAGGTGGTTCTGCCCCCAACCTCCTCCTCTGTCATTCGAACAGAACCTAATGCAGCGTATGTCACCACTCAGACTATACTACCATACCCACTGGCGAGAATGTAGCTTATGGTATGCATTGATAAAGACTTAATAGTACAATGATCATTGTTTTTATATTTCTTGTGATCATTATTTTCGCTTGTAAAGCTTTGGAGAGATGTTGCATTGTCTCCACATGGGACCGAGGTATTGAGGTTAAAATATAACGTGGACTGATGTAGTTTCAGCTGAAATGCACAAAGTTCACATGAACTAATAAGTTACAGTGTAAAATTGCTAGATAACAATATACAATAATAAAAGGCTAAATGAATAGCACTGAAGTGCAAAACCCTCAGCGGATTTTCGAGCATGTTGTTATTGTTGATGAATAGTTCTTTGATAGTTTGCAGTATACACACTAGCGTTGTACTACTGTAGCATTACATGACACTAAGAGGGTTTTTTCTGCTTTTTAAGGAGATACCCATGGCGTCCAAAGGGTTAACACGGATGCAGCAAAGATGTTTCTCAAAAAACTCTTGTATACATTCACATAAATATGAATAGCTATGATTTAACCGTCGCCAACGTCGAGCAGAGCTGACTCCTAGGGCTCTTTCGCGGGCGAAGGCGCATTTATGCACCCTACGTAAATCTACGTGTGTGGGCGAAGGCGCTTTTTTGCGACCATCGTGAAAGCAGTTTGTTTGCAAAGCTTCTTGCACTCTGCTCGCGCTTTTTGCCAACTAGTTTGCTTGGCGAAGGTTGCTACATCACTACACTACATGATAATGCCAGCTACCTTCTGCTTGGACCCAGAGATGACAGCTGAAAAGCTTTCTACAGCACCCCGACGCTCGAAGGTAAGGCTAATAGTCTAACGCTAGCTTTGTAGTGCTTACCACTAGCTAGATAGAGGTAAATAGCTTACCCGACAAGCCCCTTTGCTTGCTAAAGAGCCATTAGCTTGGCAAATCCATCCTCGAAAGCCGTTCAGCGGCGGCACCTGAAAAAGAGAAGCAGCTGCGCACGCAGCGTGTGACACCCCCCCGGCCCCAAGGCCTCTGCGGTTACTCCAGGGGATTTCCCAACAAGTAGTTAACACTAAGTTGGCTTTAGGTTGTGTGAATATTCCTGCCCACTCAATAGTTTACGTAATAATTGCGTATACCCATGAAAGAGCTAAGGCCCCCAGTTAGCTACTCAGAGATGCAATGCAGGAATTTTTGGAGGGTTCCTTGGAGGGACACGAGAAGACCCCAACTAGATGCAAGAACAGGTCGACGATGTTCTTGGAGGAGGGGCTCTAACTGGGTGAGAACGAGACGACCCCAACTGGAGGCGAGAACAGGTCAACGATGAAGGATGTCGGCAGCCAACATGAACCTGGTGACAAAGCACTCTTACCTGAAGTTTTTGTTGGAGCAGTAGGTGTTTCTGTTTCAGTAGGTGTGGGAGATTCTATCATCAAGGATGGGAGAGTATAATTGGCGAGCGGGAGCAAGCTAACCTTACGAACGGCGCGATTTTCGTCCACGCGCTTCTTTTATCCGAAAAACATTTCAAATTTTTACACCGTATATTTCTCGTGTAGATAACTCGAGGAAGCCAACCACAGTTTCTGCGATGGATCGGTCTAGTGGAGATGCCCTTCGAGAAAGGGAAAGAGAACGTCGTGCCTGTGAGACTTCTGAGCAAAGAGAGGCTCGTCTTTCTCGACGGCGACTGCGTGATAGGGAACGGGCAAGGCAACGCCTGGCCACGGAAACAGCGGAAGAAAGGGAAGCACGACTAGCGAAGTCGTGTACGAGCAAGAGCTACACGTGCTGCGGAATCAGAGGAAACGCAACAGGCAAGGCTCCAACAGATCCGAAGCTATCAGACAAGGCGAATTGCCGCCGAGTCTGCCGAGGAGAGAGAGGGTCGACTACAGTTACAGTACACAGACTACACAGGCTTTTTTGCGCATGCACACCATCGTTAGATCTCTCCCGCGCGCTCGCAGTGCACTATATATAACACCTCGCCTGCGCGCAGGGTTTTACAGTTGGTTGTGTGCGTGTGTCCGTCCGTCTGTCCACCGTTTTTCTCGGTAACCGCGGCAACTCTGAGCTTGAAACGTGGACATATTTTCAACTAGGAGGAATGCATGGTAAAATAAGATTCTGGAGCGGAGAAGGCCGGGGAAGCTGGTGAAACGGATGGCTGCCGAGGTGAGTGTGCGTCAAATAGAGATCGCGAACCATCGTTGTAGATGCTAGATGCTTTGCGCGTGTGGAGAAGATTTACTGGTCTGCCTGTATTGATGTACGATCGAGATTTCCAGTGAAGTGAGAGCAGCACACGCGCCAGTGAATCCGTACAGTGAAAGAGTCACTTAGGTAGTGTAGCTAGAATGTAGCTGAATGGTGGTGAGGGTTGTCAAGACCAGTGCTTTTGACTATTGTACGCGCATGTGCCAAAAACTGACGTAGTGTATCTAGTAGCCATTGGCTGCTGAAATAAAGAATAAAGTGGTGAGGGTTATGCACTTTCAAGTGCTTTTCATTTGTAAGAAGGTGAGGTGGGTACAGCTGTAGGACTGCGAGTAGCTGCTGTATTGTAGAATAGTGTTCGCATACTTGTGACTTACAATATTACCGAAGTAGTGTCTTACATCCTGTCACTGTGACCAGGGCAGAAACTGTCTTGTCATTGGCCAAGGAGCAAAACAGTGAGTGAACTCCTTCCACTGCATCTTCTTCACATATGTTGAGAGTTGATTCAACGGTATTGCATGAGTCATTTTGCGACTGTGTGAAAATCGCAACTGTGTTTTGTCTGTTGTCCCAAGTACACTCTGCACCATGTTGCGAGCAGTTATGCTCCAAGTAAAGTATTATTTGCTCTCCTGCTTCATAGCGTTTATCACATTACCTATCTCGAGCTCGCAATCTGAAAGCCATCGATTGCCACATAGAGTTTGGTGCTACAGATACACTTTTTATCAACTCACTTTCTTCTGTTTGGGAAGATTACAGCCAAATGAATAGAAAAGGCAAAGAGGCAATCACCAGTGTCTTCACGGAGCTCATGAGACCACAGATGATACTCTAGCTATGGTTCATGAGTCGGTGCGTGGTATGAATTAATGCCCCCACAGGGATTTAGCTGCCTATGCCACACCCTTACAAATTATTCACCTGTTGTTTCATTTAATACCTTGCCACACACACACACACACACACACACACAATACTGAATGTCTTTAATGGACACTTTGTTAGTGGTATACGCATAGGCCGACTTAGAATGTGGGCATGGCATTCATTATTAGCCTTGTTCCCAGTACACTTCAGTAACGAGGCTAGGGGGTGTGCCCTCTCTAGATCATCCGTTGTAAGTCGGACTTATGGAGGAGGTGGTCTTGGCGCTGAGTATATAGTACTGAACCGACTACGTGCAGAGAACCTCCTGTCAACCACTATGCCAATGCTCTGTAGTCTGTAGTCTGCGGTGGACTGTCACTTCAAAAGTTCATGTTGTATATTATAGCAAATAATATTGACCAACAAATTCATGCACGGGTTTGAATCCCACCCAGGGCAACTCTTCTTCTTTTCTTAAAGAAAGAGCTGTCCTGGGTGTAGTTGACTTGTTTGCTTTGTCTTGCCTTTCTACCTCATTACCAAGTTGTTGAGACATGCACGGAAAAATTATCTCTTTTCAGTAAAGTCACTATCATCATAGGTAAATAATATGGAGGTAAACATTCTATAAACGTATCATGTGACACAACTTTGAAAAACATTCATAGTATAATCTCCCACAGGATTTATTAATATTCATACACATATCGTGACGAATATAACAATATACAGAACTTGGGATATAATATGGGACTAGCTAAACACACTTTTTTAAAAAGCTGACATCAGGAAAATCTTCCTTCAAAACAGCAAAATCTCAGCAGCTTCAGCCTAATTATGAATGGCAGCTGAAGAAGGGAGCTCAACCGAGTGGGGAGCCCCCAAATAGAGTCCAAAGAGTTTATCTGGCCCGTGGAAACCACGACTCACTCCAGGGTCCCACAGCTTCGTGATCTCCTGGTAACTTCCTGTGGGTGGGAGTAAAGGAACAGCTGGGAGGACAGGCATTAATCAGCAACGTGAGGCAAAGCCAAAGCAAACTATACACCCAGGTTTTAAAGCTGTCCTAGGTGGGATTCTAGAACCCGTGAATGGCAGCTCAGTAGACAGAGGCTAAAATTTTACAACAAAATACAACACAAAGTAAAGGCAAACCACCACTAACTGTGCTATTGCAAAGAAACACTCATATAGTGTGAACAATTTACAACTAAGTGCTTCTACCGTAACACCAGCCACTGATATGTTTTACATTACAAACCTGTGTGGTCGAACCCTTGCCATTCCTTGAATGTGTGTGGTGGTGGATAGGGAGGGAGGTAGTTCTCCTGCACCTGAAGAGGTGAGACCTCCGCATACTGGGACTGGGGTGGAGTGGGCTGTGGTGGGAGCTGCTCGGAGGAGTCAGTCTCCTCTGGTGATGGTTGGGGCAGGTTCTCCTCTGGCTCTGGAGATGGCTCATCATGAGGCACCGGTTTCAAGATGCCATGTCTCGTGTATACGCATCCAACCACCAGCATTCCTTAGAAATGTGTATTAACTGAAACCACACATATAAAATGGTCATGTATACCACCTCCAGCTTTGAGGTTAAGTTGAGGGTAGACTAGGTTTTTGTGCCCAAACCTTCCTGCACACTGCTGCCCCTCATACACGGACAGGTTGTCATTTACCACTTCTTCAGCAAGTCTGAATGGACATCTGGCTGTGTCTGTCTCCTCTGGTTCAGTGATACCACTGAAACCAGTGCACTGCTGAGGGACCACAACAACAGCTGTGAATTGAACAACACCAGAATCACTTAATATTTACAGAAGTTCTAAAGCTCAAACAAACCTGTGATTAAATCCCTATCAATGACCTATGAAACAGTGGAAAATCATGTCAAACATACGACTAATTAACACAATAGACCTTGAAAGGGTCCAAGGTGGCTGTTGATTTCTGCCTCCCAGAATTGATGGACCCAGAGTGGTAGTCATCATCTGATCCCTGGGTACTCACTGGATCTTGAGCAAAGTCTGGATCATCTGCAGTATATAACTCTTCCTTAACAAACCTCCATTTTTGTATAGGAGTTAACTTACAATTGCCATGCATGTGGCATTCTTGAAAACATGTGAAAAACAACGAATACTCAACCGTGATGCAATAACCAAGCTGTTTACCTTCTTTGGATGGGAAAGTCGGACAGATTTGTGCCACTAACAACGGTCACTATAAAAGAAGGAATATTACATCTCAAACAGAAACATGGCTGCTATATACCTTTCTCCCCCTTCTCTGATTCAATGGTGGGATTAGTCCCAACATTACACTTGGTATCCTCATCCTCCTCAAGGCTCCCACTGACAATGAGACCTTCCTCTTGGAGAGCACGGTAAGCCAAAAAGGCAGATCGGACACCTTGCTCGCCACTTGAATAATCATTTGGCATCACGTTCTACAGCATATCGTGCTCACTCTGCACAGAGTCCGCTGTAAATGACACACCTTGCCTTCCCTGCTTCGGTCTTCATTGTTGCCATCATCAGGAGCTGCTGTCTCCTCAACTCCAGGCACCACCTCACCAATGAATTCAGTGGACAAAGATGAGGCATCGGCAACTGTAGCACAAAAAACCGTTCTACAACTCTTAGTTCTTCCACACAGGTGAAGTATTTTACCAACTCTTCTTGAGCTTGAGTCACTGGTCTTCCTACTCGGTACCTGCCACTCCTCTTGTGGCTCTGTATGCCAATCATAGGAAACAGCCACTGCCAAGTATTATACAGTAGAACACTACCTCGATTCTTGGCCTGTCGGGCCAGTTCCTCTTCCCCTAGATCTCTCAGTACATGAGACAGTTTCTCCCAGGATGGCTGTTGTTTGAAAACCCAGATCTCCACACACTCCCGCAGACAGCCCTCATTAGAGTCGTTGTTTGGATCAATCTCGTCCTCAATGTAGTCTTCGTCAAATCCAAGGCCTTTCACAATCTCCTTCCAACGAATAGCCACGCCCCGCAACAGTGACATCACTGACTCCACTGTGGGGGGTCCTGGGGGGTGGGAAGACATGTAATAATGTAGGACAAGTAACGAGGCATTGCAGCCTTTCAACCTTTGGGTGTTGACTTGTCCGCATTCTTCTTGTCTGTGACATGTACATAGTAGAACACAGGATTACAATTACCTACATGGTGCTATCACTACTAACCATTGTCCTTGGCAGGAGCAGTGTCGTTAGGTAGGACTGTGACGTAAGGACACTGTGTCTTGGTAGCCACATCGAAAGTTTTTGGTTTGTCGGTAGGAAGAGGTCCCGATTCAGCATATTGAGAACAAGCCATTCTCTGAGGAGAGAGAGGATGTAACATGAGTCATGTGACTATCATGTGATAATCAGCCGACATGACTGTAGTATCCTCGTAATCACAGTTTATATCATGATCATTATGACTGACTTACATTGAATATGCACGATACATTATATCGAGGATGGGTGTACAGTATACGAAGGACATAACGGGGATTACAAACAGAATAATTGACTGAGCATGCGCACTACATAATATTTGGGAATACGTCACAATGACTAACTCTGATGTCAATCTCCTGGTCTTGGACTGTAGCATGTGGGATAGAGGGTCTCACTACTGGTAAAGTGGTCTCCACCATTGCATACTTACTCTCTTCACCGTCCTCCACCACCCTGACCATCAGTGAAACAGTGCAACCAAACTAAAGAGAAATAGCTATTAGTGAAAAGAGAACAACACAACTAAAAACAGGGATATACACATACCTTCCTTCGTTTCCTCGTTACAAAAACTATAACGATCACAACCAGAGGAATGATGATCACAGCCACCAACACACAAACAGTGACAACTACAACTGATGATGTGGTTTTGGCTCTCTCTTCGCCATCTTGTATCCCTATTAAGAAAGTTCTCATCATGCCTCAATGGTTTCCATGAAGGTATAGAAAGGAGCATACTGGCAGTTGTGCCTACCAGAAAACCCTCCTACTCCGAAAATGGACAAATTACTCTGCAGGCACCTGAATGTGCTCTCTGTGCTAATGCAAGCAGGATTGTAAAGGAATGTCGCAATGTCGCACAGTTGAGTGGGTGGTAAACCTTTTTACAATACAGTTAGCTACACATATTATTAGTTACCAGTTGAGGATGGTTGAAGATGTGAAGCATCTTTTTTCCCCTGTACAAACATGCTTAAAAAGGGCATTTCCTCAGTATCATTGTTTATCTTCTGAACAGCGCAAATGTATAGTTTAAGTCAGGATCAAGGTTTACTGTAACAGGAAAAGTTTCTTCACAGTTCAACATGCAGTTGCCATATGCTCTGTAGACCAGAACACATGATGCACTCTGCTCATCAGGAGTACAGGTGACTTCCAACATTGAGCCATGCCGGGAGATGCTGGCATTCTTCAGGTTCTCATAATTAGGAGCTTGGTCCATAAAATGAACACAAACAAACAAGTGCTTAACAACACTTTTATACCCACAAGAACTTACATTTTTCGTCACCACGCGTAATATCAACACTAAAAGGGATAAGGTTAGCTGGATGTATGTTGGGAAGTCCATCTTTCTCCAGATCGTGCATATAAACAGTGTAATTTGACATAGGCATTGAGATTGCCCCAGAGAGTCTCCGATTTTCTCCATTACGCTTCAATGCAATAAAGGTAATTTGAGTGAAATTGCACTGAATCACTACAAAGCATCCCTTTGCAGGTGAGTTACCAATGAGCACTCCGTTTACCACAATCTTTCTACCATCAGTTGACTCTGCATGGGGCTCTTGAACATCATAGGTTGCTGTAAAAGTGCATGAATGAAGTGAAAGTGTGCTGTAAGGATTAATGGGTAATTATGTGCCTACAATAGATGTCACGCAGGACCACAGACATACACTTTGATTAATAACTCTCAAGACACATGCGCAGCACTTGGTCTGTGTTCCGAGGCAGCCAATGAGCGATCATAACGAAACAAAGGTATGGGTATTCAAGTTAATGAGCAATGGCTTACCTCACCTAGTGTTTGCATGGTAGGGACATATGTATCAAGTCCAGTGTTGCTCAAACACTACTCTTGAAGTTGCTAAGGCAAGAAACTGACATTGCACAAATGGCCCAGGCAATCAATTAGCAGGCCTTTTTGCCCATGTGTAGTGGGTACATTTCCTTGCAGGCTTAGCTATAACAGCGCTTGCGCTGAGAGTCATCTTCAGACTTTGTCCAAGCCCTCTGTCCACTGTATATCCATGCATCATGCTACATATCTTACTGAATTTGTTTTTCTTTTCTTTTCCACAGGCCATGGGATCTTCAATAGTAGCACTGTATTCTCTATCAGCAGGTAGAATGAAAACAGTTCCATTTGTACCATTGTTGGCATCAAATTCAACCGTATCATTATAAACAGATACAGTGTGCACTTGCTCCTAGGGTAAATGAAGAAAGTTACAAAAGCCACAAATGAGGAGAAGACAAAAGAAATGAAAGGCACTGAAGTGCAAACCCTCGTCGCAGTGATAAGTGAACACACAAGCACAATTATGTAAAGTAATGGGTGGAGCAATGGGGTTTTGGACCCGATCTATGACAGGAGAAGTGAGTTCTCACTTAACTGACAGAATGAATGACACACACGAGAACAACAGTAACCCTCGCTGCGCATGCGCGCCGAGGGTTAAATATGGTACATCAAGCACAACAATACATATTCCGTTTTTTTTACTTACTAAACCCTCAGCGCGCGTGCACAGCGAGGGTTACAATACTTGGTTTATAAGTGTGTCTGTCTGTCTTTCTGTCTGTCTGTCTGTCTGTCTGTTACCACGTTTTCTGCCACCATGCGTAAGAAATCGGCCAAAGAGCCATAGTAACGGGTTCAGTGCTACACTGGCTTGATTTCAAAAAAGGCGATTTCATTAAACTACTGCGTTCTAAAGTTATGGCGTGAAAGCCCAGTGAACAAGCCAATATGCAAATTAGCACAGGCTTACCTCGACCAGGTCCACTTGCTCTGTGCAACTTGATGGCACAAGAAGTCAAAACGAAGGGCATGTATCGACTCCCGCATGCTATCTACTACTGTAGCTAGTCCATTTCAGACTCTACTAGCTGGAGACCACAAGAAAACGCATAAGCTTACTTAGGGTACCACGCATACGCAGATCGGCGAGGGTTTGTACTTTAGTGCTTTCAGAAATGATAACAGTTGAAGTTATAATAATTATGCACACTTACATGACTGAATGCAACTTCACAATGGCTATCATTCAGGGCTTCAACTTCCACTTCAGGAAATTTGGTTTCTGTGAGAAAGATAGACAGAGAATTGCCACTTCCACCACGCATTAGGTCAGCTTCTAAACAAACCATCAGTAATGTTGGGACTGCTCTCTCCCTGGCCAGCTCCATTGAGGGGGATGACAGAGAAGTTGTACACATGACAAGGACTGAGGTAGTCAGGAGCGAAGGTGTAGTGTGTCTCAGTGATATTGATGCAGTCAGTACAGAGGATAGCTGTTGGGTTGTTCTCATCTGTCACATTGTAGATGAGGACAGAGTACCAGATATCAAGATCAACATCAGTCACATCCAGAGAGAATGGAGCACTCCACAAGATGGTCGAAGAGGTGGCATTTTTAGCATCAACTTTCAAATAACCTACTGCTGACAGTGGACCTGGATGCAATTCAATTGAGACAGTAAATTACAAGCAGAACAAATATTTTTCTAGTACGTCCAGTTGCATGTGCGCGCAAGAACAAATAATAGTCAATGAAAATACATTTCAGTGATTCAAAGTCATACCACCATCCACCTAGAATTGATTAATATGTTCGCCTAACTATCTGGCAATTAGGTTGTAGAACTGAGTACATGCTACTTGGAGTCCTTTTACCAAGAAATCATTACCATCCACCATGTGAGTCCATTTAGTTGTGCCACATTACATCTACATTTCCATGTGCATGTGTGTGCACAACTGATAAGGTGCCCACTGAGTATACAATTCCTTGTATCTTGTAGCTACATATCACATTTGAGAGGAGGACAGGCTAATCTAGTAGTCCGAAAGGCACAAATGGCATGTTGTTGGTGCAGTGGGAAGCAAAGGTTGCTGTGTAAACAGCCTTATATGTAAGGTAGAAGAGTATGTCATGAGATACCTGTATAAACAGTTTGTACAAAAACACTTCCGGCACTCAGGCGAATGCTTTTACACTGACCCACAACCCAAGTACTGTAATGCAATCGTATTTGCAAGGGGCTTAGCTAGAGCCGTTGAAATTAACAACAGTGGAATAAACTTTTTGGTAATAGTGCACAACTCTCCTCTAAAAACATGGCCACTTGACCTTTCACCCCAATCTGGTGTATTCCTCCTTAAACAAAGCGGATCCTGTCGAGGTAAACCTGTGCTAATTAGCATATTTGCTCATTCACTTGGTTTTCACGCCAGTATTTTTAAGGAAAATCGTCCTTTTTTAAATGAAGCCAGTGTAGCGCTGAACCTGTTGGTGTCGCTTTTTGGCCTGTTTGTTGCACGTGGTGGCAGTAACAGACGGACAGACAGACAGACAGACACACAGACCAAGTACTGTAACCCTCGCTGCGCATGCGCCCCGAAGGTTAATCAATGCCATTCTGTTGAACTCCTCGTAGACTGCAATACCAGAATACAAACACACAGCATTACTGCAAATCTCGCAAACAAACATATAGAAAGTGAACACAGGTAGAGTGTTAGCAAAACATTTGGCTAATACCTTGAATGGCCAAAGTGGCATTGTCACTCTCAGCAGATGAGACACCAAATACCTCTGACAGACACTGAACTGTAGTTCCATTGTACTGGGCTCTGGCTGGGATGGTCAGAGTCTCCACCAAAACACCTTCAGAAGTAGTACTCTCTGAGACAACCAGATCAGAGAGTACAGGCAAAAGGAGCTCTCGTTGTGTTCCATTGATTCTCCACAGAGTGTTGCCGCCTCTTGTCTCACATGTAAAAACTGCTGATTGGTTTAGAAAGACGTTTGTACTCTCGGGAGCATGGAGGATCTCTGGAAAAGATAAACAAACACAGTTGGAGTGCAAATTTTTTATGCATATGTGACATCACCGTGTATATATGAATTCGTACTGGTATGGGGTATGTTTCATGCTTATTATGTCCAGTACCCAAATTTTGTCCCGTGGTCATCATTGGGATATACTTACCCATAGCTACTATTTAGATTAGGTTGCTAGGCGATAGTAAAACAATATCGAGCATCAAATATCACCTTGTGCAAAACAGTGTGCTGGAACTAGTAGAAGCAGCATGAGAATTTTACCTCCTCCTGTAAGTTAACACAAGAATATCATACATATATAGTGTGATCTTGACCCACTAGTGATCATACAATCAAATAACTAGACTAAAGCCCCCCCCCTCCAATAACAGCAAATGACAATTCTGAGGAGCTAGCGCAAGAAATATAATACATAGAGCATGTGATTCAATTTACACATGAAAAATACGTGACAAGGTAAAAATTAATTGTACATGACTAGTTAAACAAACGTTGAAATTTCACAAGGTAAGTTAGCCAATTGTAGTTGTGTGAATTGTCAAGTGCAAGAATGAAGTGCAAACCCCAGTCGAACTGCGCATGCGCTAATTGATGGGGTTGGCTATTAGTATGCGTTTACTCGTGGTCTCTCACTAGTAACTCGCAGAGAGCCTGAACAGGCTACAGTAGTAGATAGCATGTGGGACGCCCTTCATTGTGACATCTCGTGCCCTCAAGATACACAGAGCAAGCGGACCGCTCGAGGAAAGCCTGTTATATTGCCATTTTCGCTTGTGTTTCACGCCATAACTCTGGAACACAGCAGTTTCAGAGAAAATCCTACAGTTTTTTTCGACCTTTATCCGACGCTGAATATGTGAATGAGATTATATGTAAGGTATAGGGTGCACTTGCTGAGCTCTCTACGAGTTATCAGCAGGATAAACACAGAGAGCAGAGCCTACTTGTCCATTTCTGCAGAGCTAGAGCAGAAGACCAAACATTACATGTGTAAAAAAACCATGCATGCCAAGAGAGATGCCAGCTCTGGACAGCTGTTTCGGGCTTGTTGGCCCTCATCAGCAGAGCTTACCACTCTCTCTGGCATCACCAGTTTATAAAGGCTGACATGAGCGCAGAACTTGTGGCTCTGAACTAATGAGATTCATCCCCACAAGGCTTAGCCACTGGTATGTGCTGCTGACCAACATGTGAACTTCACACATACTCCCCCCCTCCCCTTATCTCTCTCTCTTTCCTCGCTGTGTCCCTAGTCTCATAACTATTCCCAGATCCTGCCCGCAGGAGAAGAAATGGGTCTAGTGACTATACACCCACATACACGTACCCTGGTCCAGTCAATGACCGTACAATAGCCTATTTTAGAGGTGGAGTGTTGCTGTAGTAGCGACCTTCCTGACTGAGTACAAAACTAGCTGCACCAAAAGAAGGCAGTTTTGGCAAATTACTCAATCACCAAGGGACCGGAGTATGGTAAACTCCTGATGCTGTTGTACTCATAGTCCAGAGTGTGGATCGACTCAAACTGGCCGGTTTTCTCCTCTCACAGAAAGATGCGTGCCTCCATTTCACGTGCTGATGGAGCCCGGGTCATTGCGACACACTCTAGCCAGCTGGGAGTAGATGATGTCGTCTGTGACCAGCTTCTCACGGAGGAATTGAACAAGAACTGGCAGTCCTCCTCTAGAGATAGTGTGGATGAGTAGTCGGCCTTCTCTGCCCCAGCAAACCAGACAGGGAACCGTAGCCAGTTGTTGTTGGCGTTAATAATGTTTAGTGTACTACTCAGTCTGACATCAATGGGTTTTGGAGTTCTCTATTTTCTATAGTAAGCACTCCCCATTGTTCCAGAGTGCTCTATTATGCCTATGAACAATACACTTTCCATATATGTCATCGAAACACTTGACAATATGTACACACAGCATATATACATAGCAAATCAAAATGCATAGAACCAAAAGGTCTCGGTCAAGAGAGAGAAAGATTGATAGTGCAAAAGATCGAGTGGGACGTTATCTGCGCTGGAAGACGCTCGTGAGCAGGCCCAGCACTAAAAGTTATTCACGGCCCACCGTGTACTCTGCTCCGTCTTCAACGGTATCGCTCCTTTGGCAACCTCACTCAAAACGGACGCTTCAACAGGTTCGGCGAATCGATTAGTAGAATCTTGCAACGGTGACGTATATTCGGCGGGAGGGCACTTTTTCTTCTTCAGTCCACCTCAAACCATTCATCCGTCCCCAAAGTAAAACCAGGCCGCTCCCAACCTTCTACGGATGAGGTGAGTAAGATGGAAGCATCTTTGCCTTCAATCGCGCGTCCAGCCGTTTCTCCTACACATGTGGCAGATTCCGGATTCCCCCGCAAACGCACACTAAACCAGTTAAAGTACCCGCCCAAAGTCGTACTCTACCGGAAATAGTGAACGCGAAATGTGTCTCGAGGCATAATAGAGCACGAGACACATTCCGCGTTTACTATATCCGGTAGAGTAGTCGTGCGGGAACATCAACTAGTATGGAACAGGCTATCCGTGTCCAGTGTCTTGGGGTCAGAGGGCGTTGTCAAGGTGATGTTTTTGCATGAGATCCTGAAGTGTCGGCCGGCCCCAGAGTTCCCGGGGAAGAAACCAGCAGACAGGTAGACTTGGTCTGAGTCTGTGGCTGGTGGTACGCAGTATATACATGGTCCAGATGAAACGAGTAAAACACACAAATCTTCAACACACACAGGAACTTAGAGTATACTTAGTGCTACTGTACTAATACACATCACCTCTCAATTACACCTTTAAACCAATTGCTCTCTTTTTGTGCATACAATTTCTGAAGTTTCTGAACTCGGGGTAATATAAGATGATTCCATATTCTGATGCCACCTCTCCGCCCCCTCCTGCAGTTGAGAGCCCATCTCCAGATATGCCGACTCCTGTAATCATACAAGTAAACTGTCCACCGATTGTCCTGCACCATGGCAGGTGTCTGATCATCATAACATTACTTAGCCAGAAATTAGAAGACACCTGTGGTTGACAATTACAAGTGAACCGTGTATGTAAAAGGAATGCCAAAAATTATGTAGCTACCTGTATAATATGACACAATATTTCATTAATAAAATATGCTGTTTATTATTTACATCATGCAGGAATTGTATACTAGTCTACAGTTGACATCTGTAGGTACTAGAAACCTTGGCAGCGAGGCTCAACTCCCGCACGTGACCCACACACCAGCAGTATGTCCTGGCCTGGGACCCTCTGGTACACTCTCATATGGTTGTGGCAGGCAAACCACTACAACAACAGTGCAATACACTATACATTGCCATATACACATGTTCACCCATGTTTTTCTCATAATAACTATGTGCACCATTACAGCATCACACATCAAAGTACATGTTTACTGTATAAACTCATGGAGATCTGGAGTAGCATAGCTCAACCTGAGTAAAGGACCCAGGTAAAAATATCCAGAGCGACAGTCAGGCTTTATTACTGGAAGTCGAATACATCAGCAATAGTGAGAGCTACGACTAGTCTCCTTTTCCCATCTAACTGCTGGATAAAAGCTACATTGTTTTCCTCCCCTGGGATGTGTGCGAGCTGAATATCGTGTAAAAGATAGGCCGCCATCATTCATGCTCTGTCTGTTGCCATTACTGAATTGTCAGAATAGTGGTGATCTCCGTTTTTGAGGCGCTGGTGACAGGGGAGGTGTTGAGACGTACAGCTACGAAAGAACGCTCTAGTCGTCAGGGGCTCTTTCATAGCTGTACGTCTCACTACAAAAATGGTGAGTCCTTATCGAAACTGTGGGGCGTGGTTCAGTGGATGAATTGCGCTGCTGTCCTGCCGTTGCCGCCTGGTCGTCGTGCTGCTGTGCGAAGCAAGGCTAGTGTAGCGCGTGACTAAAACGCAGATCACCACGACTATTCTCATGCTGAGAATGAAGAAAATCGGCATTACCACTAGCTGCAGGGAAGCTAGCTAACTAGCTAGCTAGCTATAGACTTCTCATTATCACTTCACCACCCTGTAGAAACTGGTGATTCTACCCGATTTCCTGATGAGATTTCAGTTGATGTTGATGATACATCAACCTCCAAGCAATACCAGGTAAACTTCTCATTTCAGCAGCGTAAGTAGCTAGCCGTGAGCGTGTGCAAGTACACCATACGCATTTTTCCGTCTTGTGGAACAGCCTGAATGGTGAACACACATCACAGAATAATATTGTTCAATATCAATGAAGCTAGCCAGCTAGGCAGCCTACACAAGCTTATAGTAAACTTTATGGTGCATGTGACTGGTGGTGTGTTTGTGTGTGTGTGAGTGTGTTACTTATGCTGAGACACCCTGTACAGGCTGAATCCTGACCGTACCAGAGGACACAGCTCTCACCCTTCCCACCTCCACCTCCACCTCCAACATTGACACCTGCACCACCAGTGACCGCCCTGCGGACAATCCAGTAATGGCAACAGACAGAGCATGAATGATGGAGCCTATATTTTACACGATATTCAGCTCGCACATCCCAGGGGAGGAAAACAATGTAGCAGTTAGATGGAAAAGGGAGGCTAGTTGTAGCTCTTACTATTATTGGTGTAGCTATTCGACTTCCAGTAATAAAGCCTGACTGTCACTCTGGATATTTTTGCCTGGGTCCTTTACTCAGGTTGGGCTATGCTACTCCAGATCTCCATGAGTTTATACAGTAGCTAAAACATTTTGAACAGTTATGTGAGATGCCATAATTGTGCACACACAAATCTGTTATTATGAGAAAAATATGGGTGAGCATGTGTGTATGGCAATGTATGTAGCTATTGCACTGTTGTTGTAGTGGTTTGCCTGCCACAACCATATGAGAGTGTACCAGAGGGTCCCAGGTCAGGACATACTGCTGGTGTGTGGGTCACGTGCTGGAGTTGAGCCTCGCTGCCAAGGTTTCTAGTACCTACAGGTCAGTGTCAACTGTAGACTAGTATACAATTCCTGCATGATGTAAATAATAAACAGCATATTTTATTAATGAAATATTGTGTCATATTATACAGGTAGCTACATAATATTTAGGCATTCCTTTTACATACACGGTTCACTTGTAATTGTCAACCACAGGTGTCTTCTAATTTCTGGTTAAGTAATGTTATGGTTTCGCTATTCATGATCAGACACCTTCCATGGTGCAGGACAATTGGTGGACAAGTACTTGTATGATTACAGGAGTCGGCATATCTGGAGACAGACTCTCAACTGCAGGAGGGGGCGGAGAGGTGGCATCAGATGGAATCATCATATATTACCCCGAGTTCACCCAGTTCAGAAACTTCAGAAATTGTGTATGCACAAAAAGAGAGCAATTGGTGTAACTGAGAGGTGATGTGTATTAGTACAGTAGCACTAAGTATACTCTAAGTTCCTGTGTGTGTTGAAGATTTGTGTGTTTTACTCGTTTCATCTGGACCGTGTATATACTGCGTACCACCAGCCACAGACTCAGACCCAGTCTACCTGTCTGCTGGTTTCTTCCCCGGGACACTTCAGCATCTCCTACAAAAACATCACCTTGACAACGCCCTCCGACCCCGAGACAATGGGCACGGATAGCCTGTTCCAGACTATAAAACGCCAAGAACAACTGGCTACAGTTCCCTGTCGTGTTTGCTGGGGCAGAGAATACCGACTACTCGCCCACACCATCTCCGACAGGGCTAGAGGAGGACTACTAGTTCTGGTTAATATTCCTCCATGAGAAGCTGGTTACAGACGACATCATCTACTCCCGGCTGGCGAGAGTGTGTCGCAATGACCCACACTCTACCAACATGTCAAATGGAGCTCCCTACTTCACCACGTTCATAAAGGCACGCATCTTCTGTGAGAGGAGTAAACCGGCCAGTTTGAGTCGATCCACACTCTGGACTATGTACAACAGCATCAGTGAGTTTACCATACTGTGGTCCCTTGGTGGTTCAGGAATTTGCCACAGCTAGTTTTGTACTCAGTCAGGAAGGTCGCTACTACAGCAACACTCCACCTCTAAAGAGGCTATTGTACGGGTCATTGACTGGACCAGGGTACGTGTACGTGTATGTGGGTGTTGTAGCACATGGAAGAAATAGTTACTAGACCCGTTTCTTCTCCTGAGGGCAGGATCTGGGAATAATTATGAGACTAGGGACATAGGGAGGAAAGAGAGAGAGAAGAGGGGAGGGGGGGAGTATGTGTGAAGTTCACATGTTGGTCAGCAGCACATACCAGTGGCAAAGCCTTGTGTGGATGAATCTCATTAGAGAGAAAGGGGGGAAAGTATGTGAAGTTCACATGCAATGTTTGGTCTTTTGCTCTAGCTCTGCAGAAATGGACCAGTAGGCTCTGCTCTCTGCGTTTATCCTGCTGATAACTCAGTAGAGAGCTCAGCAGGTGCACCCTATACCTTGCATTCATGAGCAAAATAATACGTTGCATACTAACAGGTGCGGGTCGTACTAAGAGTGTGTTTGAGATATTCAGAGAAGACGTGGTGAACGACGTGGAATGTACACCAGTTGAAAACACTTTCCTTGAGGTGCGGGGGAGTCACATAGCTGAAGGTTTATTAACCCTCGGCGCGCATGCGCAACGAGGGTTATAGTACTAGGTTTGTCATTCCGTCCGTCCGTCCGTCTGTCCTTCCGTCTGTCAGTCTGTTACCACGTTTTCTCCCGCTACGCGCAACAAGACGACCAAAGAGCGATACCAACGGGTTCAGTGCCACACTGGCTTTATTTTTAAAATAGCGATTTTGGTACCCTCGGCGAACTGCGCATGCGCAGTACCACTAATTGATGGGCTGGGCATTTTTCTTTACTCGTTGTATCCCGCTAGTAGCTCGCGGAGAGTCTGGCACAGGCTAGCTACAGTAGTAGATTGCATGCGGGAGTTGATACATGCCCTTTGTTGTGACTTCTTGTGCCTTCAAGACTCACAGAGCGAGCGGACGCAGTCGAGGTAAGCCTGTGCTATTTGCATATTAGCTCCTTGACTTGCTTTTCATGCCATAACCTTCGAACGCAGCATTTTTACCAGCATTTTTTTGTGCTTTTCATTACTTACTTGGAGCCATGACTTGATCATCCACTGCAATCACTGGCTCTTGAGGCTGTAGTGGAATTGTTAAACAAACCTGGTTAAGTATGCATTCTCGGGTAAATGCAAAGGAGTGTCTGGACACCAGGCTGGGGCGGAAGTATCTCCGTACAGTCAGAATACTGATATACTAATAGTAGCAATTGTAACGATATTTGACACTCTCTCCCACACATGCACACAGGTATTATGAAAAAGCACTACAGTGCAAACCCTCAGCAAACTGCTCATGCGCGTACCGCATATTGATGGTCTGGGTTATTAGTAAGCGTTTACTCGTGGTCTCCAGCTAGTAGCTCGCAGAGAGTCTGACACGGTAGCTACAGCAGTAGATAGTCGATACACGACCTTCGTAATGACTTCTTGTGCCTTCAAGATACACAGAGAAAGCGAACCCGCTCAAGGTAAGCCTGTTCTAATTAGCATATTGGCTTATTCGCTCGTGTTTCACGCTGTACGTAACTCTCAGCGGTTTCAGAGAAAATCCTACATTGTTCGACCTATTAACGACGCTGAATACGTGGTATCGTTTGTGGAGCGATTCATGGCTAGTGAAGTGAGATGTCGGGTAACAGACAGACAGACACACACGGCAACTACAGTAACCCCCGCTGCACATGCGCACCGAGGGTGAAGTATAATAGCCTCTTTCCGAGAGCCACACCTACCGACCTTGCCTGTCACCATTTAAGACTTAAGCTCATACCCAAACCCTAACCCTAATGCTATAGTCTCACAAAGGTATTCCTGCTGTGCCACAAAAACCCTTAAAAGTTCTAACGCTGTTGGGTCCTCCTGGTCTTATGACACAGCATAAGTAGTTTCCTTTTGTGAGATGAGTAGCTACACACAAGTGTAGATGATAGGTGCTGGTCACACTGCTACTAATGCACACCTCATGTAAGTCAGGCTCTGCTAAGGTATACACAATGTACAGCATGCCGTAACTCCGCCAACTTTTAGTGGATCATAATTTTTTCGTACTCCTCCCTGTCATGACGACGTCACTACTAGGTGTAATATTGTATGCATGGGTGTAAGACGGAACTGAAAAACTGTCTGAATTCCTTGAGAGCAACAAGCCATTTAGTCGCCATAGTACATCTCATGATAATTACTGTACACACCCCATTGGCTGATTACCAGTGACAAATGCATGTGATGTTGGTCGAATATCACATGTGTGCGCAGCTTGGGCGGGTACTACATGTAGGTAAAGAAGGCTCTGACTGTGGCAAGGCACTACACAGAAGACGTTTATGGCACAACACTCATAATGGGATATGTGCAGCTTTTGATAAAAACAAAATCAATGACATCCACGGTTCATGTATATAGCTCATGACCCCTGACCACTAAGGCTAGTGATTCTAGGCTAACACTGTGTCTGTTACCCAATTCGCCTAAAGCCCAACATACATGGTGCAACTTTATCTCTTGCAACATGTTGTGTAAGATAAAGTTGCGCCGTGTATGTTGGCTTTATAGTAGGCTGCCATTCATGCCTAGCATCAATCCCTCACACTCCTCTCAGTCCTTGTGAGAGGGGTTAGTACCGAGACTCAGTGGCGTTTGTAGGATTTACATTAGGGGGGTGCTGGGTGCGTGGGCGAACGTGCCGCACACAAAATGATACAATGGGTATTCACTGGGGTGAAGTCATTGTTCAGCTGTATATAGACACGTCATTGTTCAGCACTAGCCATTTGTAGCCTCCTCGGGTGATGTCTAGCAAATTCGTCTACGAACTGCCCGCGCGGATTCAATGCTTGCGCGGCTAAGTGTCACGCCCGTGCCAAGGTCCCAGGTCGCCGACTCGGACGCCGCCGCAGTGAGCCTAGTCATTCGGACGGCTAACTTTTGTATGTTGAAGTTGTGGCGCGAGGCACCAAAAGCAACACTGGATACGCCACTGGAGACTACCCAGAAAAAACAACACAGGAGTGTTAGCGCCGCCATTTTAACCGTGCCGTACAACATCACCCTTACTAGCCCCGCCATTAAGTAAAGTACATACATCCTGGCTGGGTGAACTACTCTCTGTGACGGCTTCTTTTTCGACACCGTCAATAGAAGGCGACACCCAAAGGACGGACGTCCAGCTCTGGTATTTTTCGTTGTTCTCCGTTTCGACCATATATGGTAACGACCGCGCTTGGACACACGTCGGATTGCGTAACGGGATGCTGACCTCTTTCCCTCCGGTGGCGGATATATACTCGATACGAAAAGCCGCGCTGAATCAAAGCCAAGCCAAGATCGGAGATGTTTTATAGTGTAGCTTTAATTAAACGATGTGCAAATCATCATGTAACAATAGACCATGTGAGAAAAACGATGCGGAGCTCTGGACAGCTGTTTCGGGCTTGTTAGCCCTCAACACAGCCCTCAACATACCGCGACTTCTCTCTCTTATAAAGGCAAAGTTGAGCGCAGCACTTGTGGTTTTGAACTAATGAGATTCATCCCCACAAGGCTTTGCTCAGGCGCAGCGCTTGTGGTTCTGAACTAATGAGATTCATCCCCACAAGGCGTTGCCAGTAACGAGCCAAAACCCGAATTCAGCATGCTGACATTGTGTTACTAAATCTTTTTGCCCAGCATAGTTTTTATCATATTCTTCATAATTATAATATCTATATACATAGTAAAACAGAAACAAATTTGCCACCAACGGCACACAATCCGTCCCCATTGGAATCCCTATACACTGTCTATAAATATTCTATTACCTATACTAACATAAATATTATCTATCAAGTATTCCACATATGTGACTAGCATCTCTTCAGTAATATTCTGTTTCGATGAGGAGTTCGATGGTACATTAGACCAGTACGCATTTCCAGTACTATCTGCTATAATGAACTCACTGTCTCTCACCATGTATGCTTCCTGAACTAGAGTCTCTAAAGCTTCTTTGAGTGCTAGCTACATGTGGAATGCTTGTGTACAATGTAGAAAAGTCGTAGCTATCAAAATGCCTGGCCGTAGAAAAATAATTTCTTTTGCTTAAAGTTGAAAGCACCTGCTGGGAGTTATCAATGATCCAAAAACAATTGACTCCAGTCCTACAAAAAATGCCGTTACAATATTGTTTATAATGGGTGGAAATTAGTACAAGTGGAAAAATCATTTCAGTGGGATATAGGGATGACTTGAAGCACCAAAAAGGAAGAAACAAGGGGTCATTACACACCAAATATGCACAAAGCCACATGACACCACCCCTATATCTTTGTCTCATATTAAACTTTGCTTATGAACAATAAAACGAAGATATAGGGATGGTGTCATGTGGCTTTGTGCATATTTGGTGTGTAATGACCCCTTGTTTCTTCCTTTTTGGTGCTTCAAGTCATCCCTATATCCCACTTTCATTTTGAAGAAATGATTTTTCCACTTGTTTCCACTATTTTTAACAGCTTATGACAACACTGCATTTTCAGTCACTCTGGTCTTCATAGGTATGTTGTAGAGATAACTGTTGAAAGCACAAGCTAATGGACTTCTCTTACCTGAAGCAGGGTGTATGCGTAGTGTCTCCAACAAGGACGCGATTAGGTTGTGGCACATATGGTGGTGGTTTCATTGGGCAGGCTTCAGAAATCAGACTACAATGATAGCTATAACCTGGGGGACAAAGAATGAAGGCGCCTGGCACGCACGCGTAACACGGCGCAGATTGCCAAGTTGCTCCTCGTGCAAATCAACAGCAAAACGCAAACTAGCCACTTATAAATGTGTACACTGACTTACAGAAGGCACTGGAGGATGAGAGTAGTTTTCTCTGAAGGCATCCAGTCCTGGCTTAGTCTCGTTCGTGGACCAGGTTTACGAGACAAAATGCGCGCGCACCGCATTGGAAACGCCCTCCTCGGCGCATGCGGCTCACTGATGCTGAGTTAGCAGCAAATGGCGTTGTTCAGTGACAACCGAGGAAGAGCTCAACGATCTACCGTAGTGACTTGCGGCAAGAAACAAACGATCGCTTGATATGCGTGCACACCTCCAGCAAATTCGGAGACGTTCTGTGAAAAAATCAACGCTTCAAGTGCTTCCGGTAAGGAGCTAGCGGGTCTGAAGAAGAAGAAGAAGAAGAAGAAGAAGAAGATGAAGAATATGATGATGACACGAAAATCGTGAAATCGCGTATGAGCGAATTCTCGCGTGGACGACTGAAGGTGCGTATGAGATCTTGGGGGACATATATAGGTAGATATGGGCCCGTAGACTATTGCTAGTATGTTTTGAAGGCCTAGGGAGTGATTCTCACCGAGTTTTTAGTCGTTTTGTACGCGGATCACGTGAGATTTCACCCGTGTCGTCCCTATATAGAGAGTCTACCGACTCTCTGATAAGGCAGCTAGTAAGTAGTTTAGATAAAGGTTTTGTAGTGCACCTGTGTGATGCAGCTATGAACCTAGTACCATAAGGTTGTTTATGAAGCTTTGGAAGCCAATAAAACAAAGGCAAGCATCTATACTCAGGTCGTACATCAATGCGGTGGTTACTCAAAAATTGTATGTGTCTATCAACAATGCCTTGACATCCCTCCATAACATGCACCAGCATACGGAGTTTATATTTCCCAATTAGTTCGTATAGGTAGAATATGTAGTGATTACTCGGATTTTACGTTGAGGCATTTCAAACTAACGGAGCGACTGATTCATCAAGGATACAGATACTCTGATTTGTGCAGGTCCTTTTATAAGTTTGCTAAAAAGCACGCACAAATTATGATTAAATATAGCTACGGCATACACAAACATGTGGAGGATGGTATATGTCTGCCAGCAATGTATAGATTCCTCAGTCGCCATGTGTCGCATAGAGAGAATGTATATTTATATTCACATATTTATATTGAATAATCTATTTTTAACATTTCTATTTCTACCATTTCTACTATTATTTATATTATTTATATTTTTTGTATATGCTGTGCGTTATTTAAAGTAATCGACAGAACTATTAATCTTATTTTAGGAGTTCTATTTTTTCTATTTTTCTTACACGTGTATATGCTGTGCGTTATTTAGAATAATCGCACGTTTTTTTATGTCTCCGTCGTGTCGTCGTGCTGCATGAGTTTCAGAGTTTTTATATTTTTCTATGAGTTTATTGGTCCTTTGAGGCTTTCTATTTTTCTACCGGCTGTTGTTTTTACCCTGTAGCTGTCGTTTTTTGTACATGATTTCTATCTATTTATTTTATAACTATGTGTAAGGGAGGTTGGGACAGACACTGGGTGTGTAGGGAGAGTTGGGCCCATAAAAGACTCTTTAACCTACCGCCCCGGTTCTCAAGGCTGGGCACCCAGGGTCCTGCCTCTTTCTTTCTGTTTATATGTTATTGTCTGTGTTTTTGTACGCTTGGGTATGTTATTGTCTGTGTTTTGTGTGCTTGGGTGGGGGAGGTTCTTTCTTTTCCTCTGAGCTAGTATGCTATAAACATGTTTTTTCATGCTCATACGTGATAGTGGTGTCGATTTCAATTTCGAAATAATACTTCTTATAAACTATAATCACATTTTGTGCTGCCTTATCAGCCGGTACTAATACTTACATACTTATTATGAAGCTCCTCTAGAGACCTTGAACGCACTTTATTCTTTAGGATATGCATTTTCCTTCTATTTATATGCTTTCTCTTCAGCGAGGCAATTCTTTTCTGAACACATTCTTTTACCTTACATTCCCACTCATTTAATGCTCTTATGTCTATCCTTTCTCAACGCGACCATTTACGTTTATATTTGGTTACTGCCTCCTTACATAACTTTTCAGTAATGCTCCAATCAACATAGTTTTGTTCTCTGTACGATGGTCCTTTCTTTATTAAGCTTCGAAGCTTTTGCATCCCTTACGATATTCAAGTCTCCCGTAACGACATGTCCAACAGGTGTGTAACAGTATTTACTCGTATTACAATCACAACACATGCACATTAGCGGGAATAACGCTTAACACTGCGCGCCGCGTAGAATTTCTCCGCGTACGCGGAATTACGCATGCGCCTCTACCGTCCCCGCCTCTACCCCCTTCAACCGATGGCATCATTTGACGTGTCGATTTATTTATATTTTTTATTTATTAATTTTATTTTTACTCCAATTTTAGCTTGCATCACTCATCACTATGTTTATTTCCATTAATATTGCCACGGCCATCCGCGTAATACATAATTCCACGTGGCGCGCGGCGCCCATAGTGTTAAAGTAGTTAGTTTTCTAATTGTTTATTGTTTTCGATATCAGTCCATGAGCATGCCAGTGCTTGCAGAGAAATAACTTGTTCTTACTGTGGCAAGGCCAGCCTTGCGCATGGCAACGCTCATCTCTCTCAGTGACTCTGGCTGAGTCTCACATCTGTTATTTTCCGTGTTTTTATATGAACGAGAAGGTAAGATGAGTAATAAGTAAACAGTCTACATAGTGTGGGTGCTACATTTACTATAACATCTGTGAGTAGCTAGCTAGTACAAATAATGTATAGGTAGAGTTCCTGGCCTTTCTAGTAGTAGGTCTCAGAGGGATGATACTATTGAAGGGAAATTAAACACTGAGTGTCATATATCTGGCCATTATGTCAATCATCGTAGCCACCAATTCAGAAAAGCTTGGCCGCTTTGCTGAATCCCGGTCCCAACAGCCTGTCAAAACTTCATACCTGGTGACAGAGAAAAACATGTATAATTATAACCGCAGAGACAACAAGTAATACCATAGCCTTGTTCTTTTTAACCAAAGCTATTGTATTACTACCACAACTTTTGCATGTGAAAGTGTTTGTCATTTCAAACATGTGCATGAAAAATCAGTAAGGGGAATGTGGCAGAGTGTGGCAGTATACAAGGATAAATTTAGAAACTGAAATGGAGACGTAATATCATCTGCCCTATTGTTTAGGTGTCACATTCTAAGTTTAGCTCTTATGAGGCGCTGGTTTTTCACTCGCCTGGGTTTGCTCCCGAATTTCGGCCTAGCTATCCGTCTTTTGGTAAGGAGCTACTGTTGTGGTACTTTAGCTAGCTGCAATCCAGCTCATGCCAATTTTCTTTCGAGGTTCCACGGGACGGCCACAACGGACGTTGTCACCTTCAGTGACACTCCGTGTCTGTCTTGTCCGCACTCGGAGTATTGTGCTGGAGTCGCCACGGTCAAAAGTAAGTCTGCTATGCACGTATATTACTCCAAGGTCTGTACTTACTGCAAGCTTGGGTTGTGGCCACAGTAATTATGTTTCAAGGTAACCCCTGCAAGTTGTCTGCATTCCCTCATTGCCTATTTTAATAAGGGTGCCTGACGACTCTCCTTCCAGTTCAACCTGCTGCACCCCCTCGGTCTCTAGCCAGCACTTCTCTGCTGACAGTCGTGGCTGATAACAAGAACCTCACCCTGTTCTTTCAGTCGCAAGGCCCTCACTGCGCTCTACCTGTCACCACTGCCACCTGGGCTTCTCCATCCTTTGAGATAAGTTCAAGTTTTTGCGTTATCACTCGAAAAGAAGGAGGGCAGTAAGATATATTATGTGCATAATTCTGAGAATATAAAGGCTAGAGGTAGATCCTTTGTCGGTCTGACCTGGTAAGGTAAAGCAGTGGCTAGGGCACCTATCATGCTGACCCTGTAAGGAAAGGCAGCTGTGAGCCCATTAAGAAAATATTGTGCACTATAGAGGTAATGCAGACAGTGGGAGGGATAACCAGCCATTGTAACCTAGTTTTGCTGATTTGCAAAGGCACCAAGCTAGTAGTATTCCCAATACCAAGCAGCCAGCACATCAATACAGATATCCCAAGGATGTGTGGTTCCTTAATTGAGTCAATATGAGTATTCACTGGCTGGGTAGCCAGAGTTTACACAACGATGTAATGAGCAACAATGGCCAGTGACTTTCTTGGTAAGCTGTAGATGGCTGTGGCTACATCCCAAGCTGGCATGCAGGGAAGAAAAGTGGGAGCCAGTAAGCGGGAAGATGCGCACGCAGCCAGAAAAAGGCGAGAACTGGAGCGAGAGGCTGTGTGTCGTGCGTCACTTGTGTCGTTTTGAACATGCTGTTCAAAAATGTCAGCTTAGCTGCACCATAGCTGAGCTGTAGCGTATGTGGTATACGAAGGAGACTCCAAAGAACGTCATTCCAGGTCTGCGCAGAGTCTGTCTTCTCTGCTGGTCCGCGTTACAGCAGCCCACTACAATTGCACGCTACACCGCTAGCTAAAGTAGTAATCGCTCGAACAAACGGTCACACGGCAGCATGGGTTCACGGAAGCTTGCCTCGGCCCTCCTTTCCTCGTCTCGCCCACCGATTGCTCTCACAACCAGGTAAAATGATATGCTTGCTAGGCAATTAGTACGGTTGCTAGGCTACAAATGGTTACGCCTTGGTTACTTCAGTGGTACTGATATCCCTAAGCTGTTATCTTACCCTGTGTGCTAGAGTAACAGCTCAGGATATGCTGTACAGCTTCAGAACCAGGCGTTAACACTATACTTATAAGATATCTGGGAGTTGCTGGCAGGTGGGCTCTGAAGTGTTTTCCTACCCCTTATCACCACTGCTGACTTGTATATAAATTCCTGCACCCTTATATATACCACTTCTGACCTAGCCTTTATTGCAATACCCAATTCCTATGTAAGCCTACTCATACATTGTCTGTCTACTCTGTATATGCTTTTGTGTTCACTTGATGGTGCATACTATCTATATTTATTTGTCTATATAGGGTGGACTGCAAACTGCACTCTCAAGCTAGACCCTGAACCCTGCAAACTTGTGGCTACTACTGCCTGCTGCTACTAGCTATATACCCCTGATTTGGCCTCTACACCTTTCACTTCAGCTGGAATAGACCTCTCTAAAGAAAAAAACTTTCCTTCACAATTCACAACAAGCATATTGTACAATGAATGTTGGGTTAGTTTATACTTGCGCATGCGCCCACTAGTCTCTCATGCAAGAATCGTGCAAAATTGCCAAACAACGTTACGGACATCGCCCCTGCCCCATAATGCACTGCGAGTGTGTGTGAGATCAAATCTTCAAATCACACCAATCTGCAGTGCATAAATCTCCACACACATGGGTGTGAACCCTGCTGCTCCTCGCTCGCCGCTCTGCTCCACTAAGGGTGGGGCTCAGTGTAGGCTAAAAATAAGTGGAACAAGTGGAAAATCATTTCTTCAAAATGAGGGAGGATGTAGGGATGGCGTGAATTATGAAAAAAGGATGCAACAAGAAGATGCTCAGCCGACAACAAAATCATACATCCATCCCTACATCTTTCTTAACTCACAACTCAACTGTGTTTTTAGAATATTATACCTAGCTACTCCCAATACGAGTGCCTAGCTACACATTCTTAGACAGAGCAAAAGAAGAAAGATGTAGGAGGATGTATGATTTTTGTTGTCGCTGAAGCATCTTCTTGTTGGCATCCTTTTTCATAATTCACGCCATCCCTACATCCCCTTCATTTGTAAGAAAGAAATGATTTTTCCACTTGTACTATAAATCTGTGAGTAGCTAGCTAGTACAAATAATGTATAGGTAGAGTTCCTGGCTTTCTAGTAGTAGGTCTCAGAGGGATGATACTATTGAAGGAAATTAAACACTGAGTGTCATATATCTGGCCATTATGTGTCAATTCATCGTAGCCACAATCAGAAAAGCTTGGCCGCTTTGCTGAATTCCCGGTCCCAACAGCCTGTCAAAACTTCATACCTGCATGGTGACAGAGAAAAACATGTATAATTATAACCGCAGAGACAACAAGTAATACCATAGCCTTGTTCTTTTTAACCAAAGCTATTGTATTACTACCAAACTTTTCCATGTGAAAGTGGTTTTCAAGCATGTGCATGAAAAATCAGTTAATGGGAATGTGGCAGTATACAAAGGATAAATTTAGAAACTGAAATGGAGACGTAATATCATTCTGCCCTATTGTTTAGGTGTAACATTTCTAAGTTTAGCTCTTATAATATAGCTAGCTACTGACACATTCCCTGTTACTAAGCCAATTCACTACTTATAAACCCACTTAGGTTACACATGTATACAAAGATGACTTGTTAGCACACAACAGAATTGTCCTTACATTTCTTGAGGGCAGGACCCATTATCAGGCTTGGCCAGTCTATATAGCTACCTCCTTTCTCAAGATAGTTAATAAGGACGTAAATATCCATTGAATAGTAGGGATTGCCACCCAGCGAGAATACTTCCCAGCACGTAACTCCAAATGACCACTAAGAGTGTAAGTATAATCTACATGGACGACAATTACAAAACATTTGCTGACCACATCGGTTTTCTCGTCAAATTTTCCCTCCATTATGCTCTCAGGTGCCATCCGCCTGATGGGAAACGCGCGTCGCTCACTGTCTCTGTTCATTCTGAAATAGTCTTTTGACTCCGTGTTTACCGAGAGACCAAAGTCAGCAATCTTTATCACGAAGTTCTCAGCAATCCTGGGGGAGTTAGAAGATGGTAGCTAGCAGTTGTTTTCGGTATCAAAAAGGGCTAAAACTTACATGCAGTTCCTAGCTGCAAGATCTCTGTGAATCAATCTCTTGCTGGCCAGGTAGGTCATCCCTTTTGCTATTTTCAGGCACGTCGAGAGACACTTAAATGGTAGAGTCGCTGTCTAAAAATATATATATTGCAGCTATGTAAAGAGAATGTGATAGTACAAAAGGGGTAGCTAAATCAATAGAACCCAGCACAGTCATAATTGTGTTTTCACAATGTAAGTTTTATACTTAGTGCCACATTCACTAACTACTTACAGAACTCGCAAGTTGCTCCTTATTTTTCCTCAAGTAAGTGAGCAGATCGCCGTGACTCATGAACGGCATCACAATATTCGCCGAGTCAATTGAGACTCCAATCAGATTCATCACGTTCGGATGGTTTAACCTGGACATCACTGAGCACTCCTCCACCAAAGCTGTAATCTCATGTGTACTGAACATCCCTGATGTTTTGGATCATATGAGCGTTATAAGTGATTAGGTTTTTAGCTATACCTTTCAGTATCTTTACTGCAACAGTGGTAACAGTATTTCCCTCGCTGAGAGTAGCCTTGTATACAACCCCATATTCACCTGTGATGAAAGAAACTATTAGTATAGCTATACCCTCGGCATGTCTACATAAGATTTTTATACCTTGTCCAATGCATGGCTGTAAAGCAATTACGTCATTTGGGATAAGCATATTCTTGAGTCTCATCCAATTTTGTAATTTCATCAGCGACATTTTGCCACCAACTTCATCCACACTATCACCTATGGTGTACAAATAGAGAATGCCACATCATTTACCTAACAAAATCAGGGTGAACCAGTGAACCTTTGAAGAACTGTCTCAGTGTTTATAATTTTTAACACAGAGCAGAAGCAATAGAAAGATCATTTGGTATCAATTTGCATGCATTGCCACATTAGCTAATTAGTATACCTTTTGTGTCAGCCACTTCATTTGTATTTCTTTTCTTGGTTGATTTTCTACCTTTAGTATCTCTTTCCTCACTCACCACTTCATCTAGTTTACTACTTTTTGCATCTTCAGTATCTCTTTGTTCAGGAACTTCATCTGGTTTTTTACTTGTTGCACGGCTTTCATTATCTGGTTTTGTATCTCTTTGTTCAGTGACTTTGTCTGGTTTTGTAAAACTTTTTCAGTCACTCTATCTTGTTTTTCACCTCCTGTGTCCTCGCTTATTTTTTTCGGTTCTGTGACATTTGGGTTCTCAGTTACTATAAGGCCACTCCAAGTTGTATATATACCGGTTTCTGGTCCGCCGCCCGCACCCCATTTCAAGAGAGCGCAGTTTCGGTCATTATTCACTACGCATGCTGTGCTTGTGTGTACTATTGTGTGTACTAATGGATTTGCACTTGTCCCGTTTTGACTGTCTTCCCACTATGAATTTTTGTGGTCATATAACTAAGTGTGCTAATGACATAATGAGTCTCTTCAGTGACTTCATCTGGTTTCCTAACCATTATCATGTAAACCAGAATAATTATTGGTCAAGCTTAGAAGCAAAATTTACAGCACTTAGTTTTTCTAATATTATTTCCTGAACAGTTGGCCCGGGCCTTGATTAGAAAGGAGTCCCATTGGATTGGACACATTTCACTCAACTGGTTGCATTCTTCCTCACATACGGGGAGAGGGACAGCCCGGTCTCCACAGGATGGGAGGTAGTATTGGCACATCAGTCGTATTGTCGATTCCACGCAGTCATCTTGCTGCGCAGTGGACTCCAGTTGGTCCTCAAAGTCAACTATCATTCTGAGATTCTCCAAGAACTGTTGGTCATGTCTTACAAACACGTAGTCTTCCCCACTTTTGTAAACACTATCGCAAGGACTACCGGCATAAGGTATAGGACGAGAATGGCACACAGTTCCTATCTATGAACATGGCTGATAATGTGAGCAGCTAGCGCAGAACATTACTCGCTTGCTTTACCTGTTCAAACACATCGCGCTCGCGTCACCCACTGCGTCCTATAGCAGAGCCCTGTTGAAACCATCACATTTGTCGCTAGACAAGTTTAGGTGGTAGAGGATAAAGCAAATTGAAAGCATGCCTTCGTGGACAGCTACTTAGTTCTGTACTGAGTTAGGCAGGTGATTGGGTGGGGTCCACCAGTTACATTGCTCTAGCTGTTGGGTCAATGTGTTTTAGTATGAAGTGAACCTGCAGTCAGATACGACAGACTCATGGCCAGAGCAGCTTATACCGACACCGCGGAACTGAGAGTGAGATTATTCTACATATCACTTCTGAGATTATAAGGTAACTTGTATCAAGATCGTTGCAGCAGTCTCGTCCCAAAGTATGTAGTTTATTCAAGGTGCATTAGAGTTTATCCACAGCTATGAAAACTGCCGCCATCGCGTCAATGTGGGATTTGTTGCCCTCGTGTCCATATGGGATTTGTTCGCACCCGTTGTGATGTACAACGCTTGGGTATACTGCGTCACAACAGTGCCAACAATTCCCATGCGGCACTCAGGCCCAGGTGACAACTAATAACAACTAACCATAATGTTGGGAGGCCCAACTGTCTACATATGACAGTAGCCTCCTCCACTCCCCAACTGTCGTCTCCGACAATCATCCACTCCCGATTTAGGCACACCTCCACTCGACCGCTGCCGTCAGTGTTGCTGTCCACGAGCCTAACTTCTCACATGCACTGTACGGTAGAACCTCCAATAAAGGAAACTCCGAATAAGGGACACACTAGAAGAACTTCTCAACAAGGACACACTTTGAGGTTCCAAATTATTCACTTCAGAAGAAAGGATAACCCCCTTATAAATGACAAAATTCCTGGTCCCAAAGTGTCCATTATTCAGAGGTTCCATGATTTACTCTTACCAAAGTGCGGTTTTCTTTCACTAGCTCGAAGCACAAACATCCCAGGAACATTGACGTTAGATCTTGAGGGCATGTGAATGATGCTGCACGTCTGTGAGCTAGGGAGTGAGAAATCAACACCGTTTCCTTCGTCCATTCTGTTCCACCGAGACTACTGACCCCGCCATGTATATCACCAGTGGTCCATTGCATGAAGCCATCAGCATAGAGGTAAATGGCATATGTATCGTCTCCGGATAAAGCTATCACTCCCTGAAAAGAACAAAAACAAACACAAAAAAAGATTTATAAAGTGCAAAGCCTTAAAATACACTATAGCTATATTATATCTGAGCTAAAGTTGTGCTAGCACTAATGCTACTGTACATCAGATTGTATTTGCGAAAAACCACTAACAATCTTGATGCCATGAATGATTTACGATCGACGAAAGAAAAATGCAGTTCTTTATGTATATTCATGACCAGCTGCTTATGAAATACAAAAATGCATAATAATTGGAAGGCTGAGCTCTATAGAACAGTTGATTACCTATCGTGATGATCATTGTAGTAACCGACATTTTCCCATGTAGCCACAGCTACGTGGTTGATGTGTGAAACGGAAGGAAAGACTCTTTGGATGTCGTGTAACGCTCTCTGTTTTGTAGCTTTGGAGTCGTCAGCACCGTACCATAATATTCTTCCGCCATCCTCTGGTTCAATGCGCCAGTCGCTGGTCATGGAGTAATGAGACATACTTCTTATTCTAAGTGGGTCTGGTTGCCTGCTTCCCTAGCAAACTTCAGGACTATTTGTCTTTTGAGAAACACAGAAATTTTACTACAAAAGCACATTGCAGCAGTGTCCAAGTAATAAAGTTCTGCGTCCAATCACTCCAACTTATTTGACACTACCTGCGGTAGGTTGCCGTTTCTTAACCACTCTCTGGTAGTAGCCAGCTAGAACAACAGAAACAATGACTTCTCCCAGGATCGTCAAGAATAGTATTCCCACGCATACACCAACAGTAAGTCCCACATTTGCTGTGGATCATGTAAACTAGTAAACAGTATCAATTCCATCTACATATCCACTACAGCTACAAACTCTAGATGAACATTGCTGGTGTGTCATGCATGGCACATGGTATAGCGCAGCATACTTAGCAACAATTTATTTCCCGATCTTCTTTAGGAAAAGATTTACAGGTAAAATTTCTCCTCAAAATAATTTTATGCTCATTAATTTCGTCAATTAGCGTTCTATGAATGAAGTGTTTAAAAAAAGAGCATACCACAGTTTCGTTCATCACTGTTGTCTCCACAGTCATCACGGTCATTACACACGTCACTCTCAGCAACACAGTATCCGTTGTCACACGAGAAGCAATCTAAAGCACAAGTTTAATGTCATCAACACTCAAACTTTAACATACGGCAGTTATTTTCGTCACTGTTGTCTCCACAGTCGTCGATATAATCACATTTTCTTTTTTTATTCAGGCAGCGTCCATTGTCACAGGAAAATTCAAAGGAAGCACAGGTTGAATGAGTTGGAGAATAATATAAACCTATATACCATGAAGAGAAGTTTGGTCTATAGTGTTGTTTAATACACCTCTGTTTGTTTATTTCTAGCTACCACAATAATCCATGTTTGAAACAATATTGTAAATCAGAAGTAATAGGTTTCTGATGAGTAGCTATATCATTGAATGGAGGGGAGATTATCTGTGCACATGCCACAGTAGCTGCATTCATTAGTGCATTCCTGGAGTGTTAGCTACCAGTATATAGCTCCTATTACTAGAACGCATTAAAAAAGAGGCGAGCAGGTCAAACTTTTGTGCACATGCTGGTTGGTCATTACAAATGAAAGGCACTGAAGTGCAAACCGTCGGCACAGTGATAATAGTGAATGCTACCATTTTCATAAAAGGCACACGTCTGCAAATTAACCTTAGTTCAAGTGCATTCAGATCAGATAGCTCAGGTGGTACTTTACACAACTGTAGCCCATTTGCTTTGGCTTGCAATGGCATCACTTCACGTTCAATGCTCTATCACATGTCATACACACCCACTCATTGCCATCATAACTAATATGTGACCGTCCACGTGAAAAAGCGGTATAAGTCGGCAAAAATATTTTCCATATTTCACCCGATTACGCGTTTTCTACCCTGTTGCCGTGCTCGTTCAAAATTTGGTGCGGATGACCCGTTCCATTCTGGCGATATAGCTGCTTTTGTACCCGGGAGTCAGACCTTCGAGATCCGAGAAACGGCAATTTTTGTACGTGGATAAATTTTTCCGCATACGCGCTCCGTTACACGTCGTGCGTTGACACGCCCCCTAAAGCCGCTCGCACGGTTCTGGAACAAGGCTATCTCTAGTGGAAACGAAGAAGACAGGCTCAACGAAGGTAGCAGATAAGCTTTTAGCATGGTTGGTAACCTAGCTCCTCGTTAGGCAGTTGTTTTTTTGACGGCCCGTAAATTTCTCCGCGTAGTCCCCGTGTATTGCGCCCGTTTACGGGCGCGTGGAGATCGATGTAGCCTACTTTGAGGCGCCGCCACGGCCCTGGCGAGCGAGTTTCGACGCTCTAAAGTATGTAGCTGTCTTCTAGATAGATGTAGGTCCTTCTCCGTTAAAAAAAGTCTGAATCGCGCGGTACTATACCGCTTTTTCGCGTGGACGGTCACATATTATTATAACACATGCAGCACTAAACACATTCTGGAGCAAATCTTTGCTACATTTGGAATATTTCACGAAGTTACAAGGAACAACACTCTTGCGGTACACCATGCGATGGCAACACACACAAACAAATCAGGTCCATTTAGATTGGAATGACAAAATAGCATGTTCTAGTGACATAATGCTGTTTCTCTTGTTTGCCATCGACTCTTTGTTACATTGCAAAGTTTGCTCATAGGTCTCAGTGGCTTTCATGCTCGCTTTGTCCTGGTTGTAATACTCGTGTTCGCTTCGCTGCTCGAAAAACATGATCACAGCTCTCACACACTTTCCGCCTTATACATATGTACAACAGCTTTACATTGCGGACATACCCTAGTTGTAGGCATACTTACTCAGTGAACTCAACCGTCTTCTCAGTCTAGTCTCAGAGGGAAAACAAACTGGCTGCTGGCCCAATCAGCGTGCGCCGGTTAGGCCGCCTGCCGCCTCGGAGTCGCGTGCGTTTTGGTGTATACACATATGCGCGTTGTAATGGCCGCCCTTGCCGTACCGTACGAACAGGAAAACGCTCTAGCTCTGCAACGAAGCAGTTTCAGAGAAAATCCCACGTATATTCTGACCTCCGTCGGCCGCTGGGTATGTAAACCCGTTTTGGACGCGATCTATGACTGGAGAATTGAGCTCTCACTGTTAACTGACAGAATGAAAGGCACTGAAGTGCAAACCCTCGGCGCTGTGATAATAGTGAACACACACGCACAGTAATGGGTGGGGTAATGGTATCACCAGATCTGGCAGAATTGTTGTACTTACTGGTGCTGTATTTAGGTTCATAGATAAAATTATTCTTACCTCCCAAGCCTAACCTAGTGAGCCAAACGCCTTAGTTCGATGCATAGCTACTTACTGACTTCTCTGTCTACAGAGAAATGAGAATGGCTGCTGGCCACGTGGTCCCAATCAGCGTGCGCCGCTTTGGCCGCCTGCCGCCTCGTAGTCGCGCGCGTTTTGGTGTATACGCACATGCGCGTTGTTAAAATTGCCGCCCTTGCCGTACCGTACGAAAACAGGAAAACGCTCTAGCTCTGCAACGAAGCAATTTCAGAGAAAACCCCACATATTTCTGACCTCCGTCGGCCGCTGGGTATGTAAACCCGTTTTGGACGCGATCTATGACTGGAGAAGTGAGTTCTCACTTAACTGACAGAATGAATGACTGAATGAAAAGCACTGAAGTGCAAACCCTCGGCGCATTGTGACGCGCACGCGTAAGTAAACGCATGCGCAGTACCACTAATTGATGGGCTGGGGTTAGTTTTAGCTGTTACTCGTGGTCTCTTGCAGGCTCGCGCAGAGTCTGACGCGGACTAACTACACTACTAGATAGCATACGAGAGGCGATACACGCCCTTCGTTGCATCTTCTGGTGCCTCCGAGGTACGCAGAGCACGCGGATCGATCAGACCGCGGTAAGCCATCCCGTCCGTTGCGTATTTGCATATTGGCTTTTTCGCGCTGCTAGCTTTGCAACGGAGCAGTTTCAGAGAAAACCCCACATATTTTCTGACCTTCGTTGCCCGTTAAGCAGGTCGTATCCTTTGTGAGACGAACAAACCCCCGAGAAGTGAGATGTAGAGTAACGGACAGACAGACAGACAGACAGACAGACAAAACCCAACTACTGTAACCCTCGCTGCGCATGCGCGCCGAGGGTTAATGACACAAACGACAACTACAGTAACCCTCACTGCACATGCGCGCCGAGGGTAATGGGATTCAGACGACTAGGCAGGCTCGCTTCACTCGCCAAATGACACTCACAATACTCTGCCTCCCTGTCAACCGTGATAATAGTCCGAGATCGTGATGAGTAGACCATCAGTGTATCACTCTGTGCGTGATGTGGTGGTAGACTGAGGATGAGCTCAAAAGACATGGTGTTTTCCTTCAAGCTGCACACACCATCTTGCGGTATACTGCAGTAATGACACTTCACAGAGGTTCCTTGCTCAATTTCTAACTCTGCGCTGCAGTCCAATGTTTGCTGCAGGCCCGAAGTTTCTGTAATACAATTCTAATTGGGTACATAATAATTACACATCACCTAACCTTCAGCTTGTATTAGCGTCACAGTAAATGTTTCTGCAGCACCACCAGAAGGATTCAAAACCTCAACGCATATGGACACACTTCCACTCTTCTCAGTACCAACAAATGTCGTGGATGAAAACCCGACAATTGTACCTGGAATTAACCAATACAGCAGTGTTGTGTTGCTTAACTGAATCTTGCATCGTTGGTATATATAAGATGAGGAATGTGTCTTGTGTGGTAATGTAGTGGCTAAAAATAAGTAGTATACAACTTCACACGCATAACCCCTATTGGCTACAATGCCAGTGTTTATGCTTAGCTTTTAAACTTAGCTGACTAAGGCAAAGCAAACAACACGACAAGCTACATGTTATAATATCATCAGCATGTAGAACACATGTAAATACCTCGTATAATAAGAGAGACAAATTTCAGAGGCATCTTAATCTCAGCTCCGATCAGTCCGTAACAGATCAATTCCTGAGCCATGTCCACCGGAGCTGAGTAGTGGACTTTGTGTGAGAGTGACTTGTTCAGCCTCAGTCCATTTGCCGTCTCCCACGTGAGAATAGAGTAGGTACGAACAGTGATATTGACTGCTAAAGGTGAAAACTCGGAACATTCTATGTCCCACTGGCCTCCAATTGGTTGGACCACTGCATAATGATAATCTGCCGGGGAGACGTCGTAAGAAAAGGTTATAAGACAGAGTTCAAGTACGTGTATCTTTCACAAGCACACCATTACAATATCAAATCATTAGTTGCCCCAAGTGTACACATAGCTATCGTTTGTGTAACACAAAAAGAATATTTAGGATATTATAATTTGCCTAGTATTAGTTACCCTGCTTATATGTATTTTACCACACGTGCATCGTATAATACTAAAGAGGGGTTCCACTGTTTTACAGCTTCATTTGAAATGTTAGACAACTAGAGTATACATTAAAATTAGGATCATCTTTTCTACCGGCAATACTAAGTTTGAGAAGCTCACATTCGGGGTTTACTGGACTCTTATATGTCTCTTCACGATAATAAGGCTGGACTTGAATAAACACAAGACATATGTAATTAGTGATGCTGGGTTGAGGATTTCCAGCCAGGATAGTGTCGTAAGTTGAGTTTCCTCTATATATGTATGAGGTGGGAAGAGTTTGAGAATGCAGGTCTTGGGTTTAGTATCTGCTCCGAAAAAGTGAGCTGGAGGGGAGGTAGGTGGGTGGAGTCACAGGAGAGGGTAAAGGGATCTTCTGCAACATATCTCACAAAGATGGGCTGAAGTGGAAGGACTGTATGGGAACAAAAGTTGATACGTGTGTCAAATTAGAAACGACAGCACTGTTTTCAGGATCCATGCTTGTTTGGGAGGTGCTATAATATCCTTGACTGCACATGCACAATACATTGACTATATTTGGAGAGTGGAATCTCATTGTATCTATCCTAATCTATCCTAATCTATTTCGTTGTCCCTTCACCCCCTCTTTACCCCTACCAGTAATGGTTTGAATGGTTTCGCATTTATTCTACACACATGAGTAAGCGAAATGACAAACTAACCATTCCTAATACATTGGCTATAGTTGGAGAGTGGAATCTCTATCCTTATCTATCTCTCTATTTCGTTGTCCCTTCACCCCCTCTTTACCCCTACCAGTAAAGGTTTGAATGGTTTCGCATTTATTCTACACACATGAGTAAGCGAAATAACAAACCAATCATACCTAATACATTGACTATAGTTGGATAGTGGAATCTAATTGTATCTATCCTTATGTAGGAACTCTGGCACAGGTTGTCCACATCTTCGCAACCACTGTCATGTTTTACTGTCACAAACACACTCGTTGTCTTGTAACCACTACACCACAGCCCCGATCCGCACCTAGCTCTATCTTATAAAAGCACCATGCATTATCATTGAGCAGCTTCCATAATATTTTGAGCAGAACCCCTGTCGGTTTGAACTGCGAGAGAACGCCACGCTACAATTGGCGTAGTCGGCAGGATAACCTGGATGGCAACGAAACCGGTTGTGTTGCCCGAGCCCTACGATGGGAAATCGTCTTGGGGTGATTGGAAGCTCCATTTCGAGGACGTAGCCGCAGTCAACGAATGGAATGCTGGACAGAAACTCAAGTGGCTACGTGTCCGCCTAACTGGTCGAGCGCAGAAGGCGTTCCACCGCCTACCAGGAGAAAGTCAGGCCTCTTATGATGCCGCTACAAGAGCCCTGCAGGAGAGGTTCGAGCCGAAGAGCCGGATGACCCGATATCAGGCGGAATTCGAGACCCGCAGCAAGAAACGCTCCGAAGGCTGGGCTGATTTCGCAGAGGACCTCCGCTCCCTAGTCGACAAGGCGTTCCCTGATTTACAACCCGAGGCAAGAGAGCGTCTCGCTCTGCAAACGTATCTCAAACAACTCGAGCAACCTCAAGTCGCTTTCAGCGTCCGGCAGCGCCGTCCCGCTACACTCGACGATGCCGTCACCGCCACCTTGGAGATGGAGTCGTACATCGCTCCCCCGCGATCCTGTGTACAGTCAGTCACTAGCAGCGCGGATCCTGAAGATCGCGATGCAACAGGCGCGACCCCCGTCACCGCAGTCAACTCTCGGCCATGATGGAGAAGTTGATGAACCGCGTGGAGACCTTGGAGAGACGACAGCCACCGCAGTGTATGCGTTCCCAGGATGAGGCTTCGCCGACGAACCGACGTCAACGCCAGAACGCAGCTATCATTTGCTGGAACTGCCGACGACCAGGGCATATCGCGCGTAATTGCCGTCAACCTCCCCAGCCCCAGCAGTATATACCAGGGAAACGAATCGCCTCCGGTGGAGAGAGCCGCCTACCGGAGGGTGTAATACGCAACAAAGCTCTTGAACTGCCCGTTTCCCCTGTCTCCCCTGTGGGTGGCTACCGCCTAGAAGGATCTGTCAATGGACTCGCAGTACCGCTACTCGTGGAAACTGGCGCAACAGTGACACTCCTCCGCAAGGACGTATGGGATCGGGTTAGCGTCTCGGAGGGACCTCTGACACCCTGCTCGGCACTGGGACTTGTCGGAGCAGACGGGTCTCCTCTCCAAACGTTTGGCACCACCTCCGTCACTCTGGCGCTGAATGGTGCGACAATGTCGGTAGACGTGGTTGTCGCCAGCCCCCTAACTTCAGAGGGGATACTCGGCCTGGATTTTCTGAAGAAACAGAAAGTTTTAATTGACCTGGAATCGGAACGAATCTTCTTACGCGAGCAGGATCTCTCAATCCCCCTGTGCACGCCAACAGCGGCAACCCGGAGCCGGCGCATTGGAGTCAGAGCTATCAGCAACTTAGAAGTGCCAGCTCGTACAGAAGTGGAAGTAACGATGCGTCTGGATGCCGCTGTCGAAAGTGGTACGTGGCTCCTGGAAGACTCCCGCACAAACCCTGCCCAAAAAGGGATGATGGTAGCTTGTGCTATCATCCAACCACGGTCACCTACAATCCCAGTTCGACTCGTGAATGTCTCGTCAGAACCCATAACCATTTATGCCCAAAAGAGAATTGCCTATGCAGAAGAGGTCGGCGATGTTATTTGTTCAGTTGGAGCATCACAACCGAAACAGACAACAGCGAGCACAATAAGTGAACAGAAGCAACAAATACTATGGGAACTGGTGGAGGGCACAGATGCCGAATTGGACCCTGACCAAAAAGAGATATTCTACCAGCTCCTGGTCTCATATGCGGATGTTGTCGCCGAGTCTTCAACAGATCTGGGTCAGACTGATTGGTTACAGCACACCATTGACACCGGCGACGCACCTCCCATCCGGCAGTCCGTCCGCCGCCTCCCGCCACAGCGGCGAAGTGAAGTACAACAACTGTTGCAAAGCATGTTGCAGAATGGAGTGGTGGAACCGTCACGAAGCCCTTGGGCATCACCCATTGTTCTTGTGAAAAAGAAAGATGGGTCAACTCGATTCTGCGTGGATTATCGCAAAGTAAATGGGATCACACGCAAGGATGCTTACCCCCTACCCCGAATCGATACCACGCTGGATACACTCTCCGGCTCTCAATGGTTCAGCACATTGGACCTGATAAGTGGGTACTGGCAGGTGCATATTGAAGAGTCCGATCGCCCAAAGACCGCTTTCTGCACCACCGAGGGGTTATTTCAGTTCCGAGTAATGCCCTTCGGGCTTTGCAATGCTCCTGCCACCTTCCAGCGTCTCATGGACCTCGTGCTGTCAGGCCTCCAGTGGGAACATTGCCTCGTCTACCTGGATGATGTGATCATCCTTGGACGGACCTTTAAGGAGCATATACAAAATATCCAACTCGTACTTCAACGGCTGAGAGAAGCGGGCCTGAAAGTCAAACCATCCAAGTGCGTGTTCTTCCGACGTGAGGTCCGCTACCTAGGACACATTGTCTCAAGGGAAGGCGTTTCCCCAGACCCCTCAAAGACAGAGAAAGTTGCATCATGGCCAACTCCACGATCCGTCAAAGAGGTCCAGCAGTTCCTGGGCTTCTCGAGCTATTACCGTCGGTTTGTGGAAGACTACGCCACCCTAGCAAAACCACTGCACCGTCTCACAGAACGTTCAAGCAAGTTCTTGTGGACCCCAGAATGCCAAAGGTCCTTCGATGAGCTCCGCTGTAGGCTTGTCTCTCCGCCTATTCTAGCGCACCCAGACTTCAGCCTCCCCTTCACACTCGATACTGATGCAAGCGACATTGGCATTGGTGGTGTACTGTCTCAAGTTGGTGCAGATGGTAAAGAAAGGGTTATTGCGTATGGAAGTCGTTTGCTAACCAAAGCTGAACGTCAGTATTGTACCACACGGAAGGAGCTCCTGGCAGTTGTCATGTTCACCAAACAGTACCGCCCATACCTCGCTGGACAACAATTCATTCTGCGAACCGATCACAGCTCCCTCTCCTGGCTGCACAACTTCCGCGACCCTCAGGGGCAACTAGCCCGTTGGCTAGAGCAGTTGCAGGAATTCAATTTTACAGTCGTACATCGACGGGGACGGAAACACACTAATGCTGATGCCCTGTCCCGTCTCCCGTGTCGCCAGTGTGGTCGAAACAGCCACCTCGAAGTAGATGAACTGGTCATTGGTGCTACCTCTTTGCAAGGTCCCCTGTTCCAAGATGAACTTCTCCGAGAGGCTCAATTAAAGGACGCGATGCTTGCCCCTCTGCTCCTGGGTAAACAAGATGACCTCAAGCCAGGTGTCGAAGACTTGGGGCCAACAAGCCGTGGAACAAGGCGCCTTCTGCAAATCTGGGACCAACTAATGATCAAAGATGGAGTGCTGTGTCGGTTATTCCATCCAGTTGACCCAGGGTCTGGAGCACCTCTAATACAACAGCTAATCCCAAAGTCACTTCAAGAGGAAGTCTTGAAGCAACTCCATGAAGGGATAGGGGGTGGGCACCTTGGTATCGACAAGACGTTGTGCCGCCTGAAGGAGCGATTCTACTGGCCTGGACATCACACTGATGTCACCGACTGGTGTCGTTCCTGTAACCTGTGTGCTTCACGGAAAAACCCCACCCACACGACCTCGAGCTCCCCTGAAAAGTGTGAAAACAGGCTACCCACTACAAATGGTGGCCATGGATATTGTTGGCCCACTGCCCAGATCTGCTGAAGGCAACACATACATCCTCGTTGCCAGCGACTACTTCACTCGCTGGGTGGAAGCATACGCCATACCAAATCTGGAGGCGACAACAGTCGCAGAAAAGCTCACAAACGAGTTCTTTTTTCGGTTTGGTCCGCCGGAACAGTTGCATGCCGACCAAGGCCGAAACTTTGAATCAAGCGTGATAGCAGAGATCTGCAAGATGTTGGGCGTTGTAAAAACCAGGACAACTCCATACCACCCTCAGTCTGATGGGCTGGTGGAAAGACTAAACAGAACAATACTCGGCATGATATCCCTCGCAGTGGAAGATCAGCCAACTACATGGGAAAGCAAACTTCGAAGCATATGTATGGCCTACAACACCAGCGTGCAATCCACTACAGGCTATACCCCATTTTTTCTGATGTTCGGCCGGCAAGCCAGACTCCCCATAGATATTATGTACGGCACGCCTGTACCAACACCTACATTGACAACAGATTATGCGAAACATCTAAGGCGATCGCTAGAAACGTCGTATCAGCTCGCCCGAGAGAAGATGGGATTTAATCTAAAGAGGCAAAAGGACCTCTACGATGTACGCATTCACGGCCAACCGTATGCCAAGGGTGATCCCGTGTGGCTGCATTGCCCAGCAGTTCCGAGGGGGCATTCAAGAAAACTTCACCGACCTTGGAAAGGGCCATACCGCATCCTTAAATGCGTTTCCGACACGACTTATCGCATTCAAGACATGAATTTCCCCAGAAGAAAACTGTGTGTCCACTTCAATCGGCTCAAACCATACTCTGGACCACTAAGAGCACACTCTCGCAATCCTCCAACACGGACCAACCCAGACCATCAACAAGCTATACCTCTGGGAAGCCAGCTTGTGTTGATTGACTCAGATGAGGACGATGTGCCGGCCGTTCCTCGGAGCTCCACTACGAACACGGCGAATAATCCGTGCCGAGGGCCTCCTACTCAAGGCCAGCCACGATACCCTCAAAGACAAAGGAAACCTCCGGACTACTATCATGATGAAATTTAATGCGGGACGCATTCTATCAAAGGAGGGATGCTGTGTAGGAACTCTGGCACAGGTTGTCCACATCTTCGCAACCACTGTCATGTTTTACTGTCACAAACACACTCGTTGTCTTGTAACCACTACACCACAGCCCCGATCCGCACCTAGCACTATCTTATAAAAGCACCATGCATTATCATTGAGCAGCTTCCATAATATTTTGAGCAGAACCCCTGTCGGTTTGAACTGCGAGAGAACGCCACGCTACACTTATCTATCTCTGTCCCTTCACTCCTACCAATAGGGGTTTGAATGGTTTCAAATTTTTTTTACCCACATGAGTAAACAAAATGACAAACCAACAATCTCTAGTACATTGACTATAGTTGGAGAATGGAATCTCGTTGTACCCATTCTTAACTATCTCTATTTCGTTGTACCTTCACGCCACTTTTTTTGGCATGCACATAGTTTCAAAAAACCCCTAGATTATAAGTTTGTAAGAATGTCTCTCTCACCAGAGGTGTACCCGTAGTCGTAGAGACCAAAATGACGGATCTGCTCCTCTCCATTCTCATCTGGGATGATGCAACTGTACATTCCCTCAGCCTCACTACTGAACTGAACACCTGGTGATACATAAGTGTAGGTATAATAGGCATTAAGGCCCTCACAACACGGTAAATTTGTGTTTCTTGGTGTATGTGGAACACCCAAAACTCACAAGGGTATTCATGTGGAAGTTAAAAGTAATCACACAGACTGTGAATTATAATAATTAAGCCTGCTTACGTGTCCGTTGGTGTACATTCTTTGGCAAATTGTTTTCATGTGTATTTGGTGTATACAATCACCTTGTTTCTTAGCAGATACAGCCCTCCCTATAATAATATTATACAACTTTATATTTTCTTTGTGTGTGTGTGTATGTGTGCCGTATATTTCTTATATTATAGCAAAACCTGTCCAAGTAAAATGCATAGATATACCATAGCTACCATACCTTCTTTAAGGGTGAGAGAGGTGTAACTACGGAAGGTTGAGTTGTAAAAATCGATCTGGAACATGTCATTCCCCCCTGATGGAATCTCCTCCCCATTGGGACTGATCCACCTGCCAATGTTGGACTGGTTGGAGCCCGAGTGACAGTACACAGTGCCAAGTTGGTGAGCCGAGTTCGCCTCTATGCCAGAGTTATTGTGCAACTGCCCTTCGAATTTGACTAGTGAAGTTCCTATATTAGAATTGTATGGAAGATTACAGATAATAATAATTATTATGAGGGAAAAGTAATAACTGACCAGTGATTTGTCTGAAATGTCTTTCCTCTGCAGTGGTACCAGCACTATCCCAAGCTGTGCACCCCATCATGGTTGAACAGTAATTAGGAGTCGAATCGATGACGAAGAGTGTATCCTTAGTATCGTTGCGTATCACCTGCTCAGAGTCACCATTCTGGCAGTACTCTGTCCAGCGCAAGGTGTAGCTGCCAGGGGTTATTGCTTTGCATATGTAAATAATTATGCTTCCAGCTTTGAAGATCGGACCTTCAGGAATTGTCAGGATATATGGCCTCACTCCTGCACAGTATAATTTTAGTGGCTGTTGATGATTCGTGCTGATTCATGACCTCTCTCTCTCTCTCACTCTCTCCCCTCCCACAGTGGCCTCGCCCCTTTCGGTAGTGTATTACATGTCGGGAGTATAAAGAGGCCGAAACATGTAATGCATGATAAACAATGGGGAACTCCCCTGATGACCAGTGCAGTCACATAGAGTTGTAAGACTCTGATTCAGGAGACTAGCAATATCAAAACCTATATATACATTTGTCATGTATGTGGTATGTAATCTTAGTGTATGATGTAATTTCCTGTTCTATTTTTACCGCATCACGTACTATATAAGTCACCACTGGTTCTAGCTGTAAGCGAATCCTTTCTCTGTCTTTATGAATTATTGTTCTGCGCTAAGATCTCACGAACCGACATATTTTGGCGACGAGGACGGGATCGATGGCTGTCGCTATGCTGGGCAAAGTGGAAGAGTTCGACGGGACTAAAGGAAGCTCCAACTCCGGAAAACGTACCGAAATTGAAGTCATATTTGGGACATGCTGACGTATTATGGGAAATTCTTACCAAACTTGTCCTCAACATTACATCTGCTCTATCAACTACTCAAAAAGGACGTGCCTTGGGAGTGGGGGCCAGACCAACAGCGTGCGTTCCAAGCGTCGAAAGATATGCTTTTACTGACCAGAATTTTATAACTCACTTCGATCCAAGCCTTCCGATAACGCTGGCTTGTGATGCTTCAGGCTATGGCCTTGGTGCAGTGCTTGCCCATAAAATGCCTGATGGCTCAGAGAAACCTATCGGTTATGCTTCACGCACACTTACACCTGCCGAACGCAATTATTCGCAGTTAGAAAAAGAAGGCCTCTCTTGTGTGTATGGAATAAAATATTTTCACGACTATCTGTTCGGACATCGTTTTGAACTCATTACTGACCATAAACCGTTGCTGGGTCTTCTGAAAGAGGATCGTCCGACGTCCTCGCAAGCTTCTGCTTGAATCAAGCGATGGTCGCTGTTCTTATCGTCATACGAGTACTCGCTCACTTTTCGTAACACGACAGCCCACGGAAATGCTGACGCGTTGAGTAGATTACCACTTCCAGTTACACCAACTACCACGGATCTGCACCTGAATTGGTTCTTATAACTGAACACTTAGCTGAGTCTCCGGTCTCAGCTTGTGACATCCGCACTTGGACCGCGAGAGACCCGAAACTCTCTCGAGTCTTGCAGTATGTGCAGCAAGGCTGGCCGAGTGAGGTAGACTCCGATCTCGAGCGATACTCGTCTAAGCAGCTGGAACTTTCGACATACGAAGGTTGCCTGTTGTGGGGAAACAGAGTCATTGTCCCGCCACAAGGGAGGGAAGCCGTGCTGTGTGAGCTGCACGAAGGGCACCCTGGTATGACGAAGAAGAAAGTGTTGTCCAGAATGTATGTCTGGTGGCCGGGGATAAATGCCGACATTGAAAAATCTGTTCGGCGTTGCACCGAATGCCAAGAGGTAGCACATACACACACCACCCCCTCGTGCTCCATTACACCCATGGAAATGGCCGACGAGTAGACATTGGTCTCGTTTACACCTAGACTTTGCGGGTCAGTTCCAGGGTAAAACATTTCTCGTTCTGATCGATGCTCATTCCAAGTGGATCGAAGCGTCCGTTACAGCGTCAACGTCATCTAACGTAGTAATAGAAGAGCTACGTACCGTGTTCGCTAAGTTCGGTTTACGGGAAACCATTGTAACCGACAATGGGACTGGCTTCGTAAACCAGGAGTTCAAAGCGTTCCCATATCACTTCAGCACCATGTCATCCAGCATCCAATGGACTGGCTGAGAGAGCTGTACAAATAGTAAAAAGAGGTCTAAAGAAAGTCACTGCTGGCAGCGTAAATACACGTCTTTCCCAACTGCTGTTTACATACCATGTCAGTCCACAAGCACCACTGGGATTTCTCCGTCAGAACTGCTCATAGGGAGAAGGCCCAGAACTAGGTTAGATCTCCTAGGTCCAAATACTCCAGCTCGTGTCGAACAAAAGCAGATGGAGCAAAAGCATAGGCATGACAGGAAAGCCAGGCCTCGATCATTCCGAATGGGAGATCCTGTTTTTGTTAAGAATTTTGGTGCTGGGCTCAGGTGGTTACCAGGAAAAATAATAAAAAGAGCTGGACCAGTCTCATTCCGTGTAAGACTGGAGGATGGTAGACTCCGACGCTACCATCAAGATCAGCTGAGGCAGAGGGAAGTTGAAGATGACTCCCCAGACACTTCCGATACGGGGGTTGGTGACAGTATTCCTGTCCCCAGTCAAACGGGGGCGAAAACACGGCTACTCCACCAGTTGCTGATTCCGCTGACACTGATGCCACGGCACCACCTGACAGTGCACAACCGAGTGTACAAACGAGCACTTCGGAAAACGAACAGTCGAACGCACAATCGAACGTCCAATCGCATCGGTATCCTCGAAGAATCGAAACCTCCACAAGTATTCGACCCGGGAACTAAATGAGAGGAGTACTCTATTGTGCATGTTATATTTTATGGTGTCTATTGATATCGCATTCTATTTGAGTATATATGTGATTATTGTGCATGCATGTGTCTTCACCTTATGTTTATGTGCTTATTGATTTGTAAGTGAGTGCCTGTGTTGTGATTTTGTTTGGCTTCCCTGTATCACTACTTTTGAGTGCTCGTTGTTTTTTTAAGGGAAAAGGAGTGTCATGTAGCTATATGGTATGTAATCTTAGTGTATGAGTACTTTCCTGTTCTATTTTTACCGCATCACGTACTATATAAGTCACCACTGGTTCATTGCTGTAAGCGAATCCGTTCTCTGTCTTTATGATAATTATTATTGTTCTGCGCTACGATCTCATGAACCTCGAGATACGACAACATTTTAAGCGTTCGAATGTGTGTTTCTCAATGTCCCACACAAATATAGACAAAGTGCCGCCTAAAACTTTTAAGTTTGAGTTTTTTGACTCCCGTTAAAAATCTCTCTCTCTCTCTCTCTCTCCCTCTCTTACCATCGTAGTGTATTGGATATAGCAACGTATTCCATTTGCTGCCGGGACTGTTGCCACAGTCAACCTCATTAGACTGGGGGGACTGAGACTTTGGATGGTTGAAGAAGAAATTACCAGTGGCTGTGTAGCCAATGGCAGCTTGCAGTGTTGTAAGAAGCCCACAGTGATAGATGAATAGACAGTAGGAATGGTGGCCGTCTGTAACCAACGCTGCCTGGAAACTGTTGTGCTGCAAATATCATTGCATCGTATAATAACGATACGCATATAATACATGTGTATCAGTGCGAACTGTCTAATCAAATAAGGACACTTCCCTAAAAAGGACATCTTTCCCCCAATAGAAGTTCATACAACTTTTTTGTCTAAAGACTAAGTGTCCGTTATTAGAGGGGTTTCACAGTAGGCCCTGGTAGATTATGCCAGAGCTTTTTGCCTATTAATCTATTCTTTTATTCCCGTAGATGATGCCCATTATTCTGTTTAAGTCGCCTATTATTCTTTTCACTTCACCTATTATGCTCCTCTGAAATACGTAGTTACAAAATGTATGTGGAAACAGTAAAACAAGTATAAACTATCCACAAATACCAACTATACACAACAGTATCTTACCAAGTACAAAAAGCCATGAATGAATGTGAATGAAACCAACTATACAATGATACATTAGGATTTAGGTTTCCTGTAGTAACATGACAGATAGCTGAATGTAATCTTAATCCAGGAAGTTCTCTGTCATGTGCGCATGCGCGATGTATATAACGTACACGTAGTTACGCAAGCAACGACGGATGATCAGCCGATTATGCTAGAATAATTCTTGCTTGCAAAGAGCACCTATTATGCTCAAAATTATGCTAGCATAATCTACCAAGGCCTATTTCACAGTGGTTAGTCCGCAGAGACTCACCTAAGATAATATTAGAGAGTCGGTAGACTCTCTATATAGGGATGACACAGGAGAAATCTCACGTGATCCGCGTACAAAACGACTAAAAACTCGGTGAGAATTCCCTAGGCCTTCAAAACATACTAGCAATAGTCTATGGGCCCATATCTACCTATACATGTCCCCCAAGACCTCAGACGCACCTTCAGTCGTCCACGCGAGAATTCGCTCATACGCGATTTCACGATTTTCGTGTCATTCTTCTTCAGACCCGCTAGCTCCTTACCGGAAGCACTTGAAGCGTTGATTTTTTCACAGAACGTCTCCGAATTTGCCGGAGGTGTGCACGCATATCAAGCGATCGTTTGTTTCTTGCCGCAAGTCACTACGGTAGATCGTTGAGCTCTTCCTCGGTAGTCACTGAACAACGCCATTTGCTGCTAACTCAGCATCAGTGAGCCGCATGCGCCGAGGAGGGCGGTCCCAATGCGGTGCGCGCGCATTTTGTCTTGTCCACGAACGAGACTAAGCCAGGACTGGATGCCTGCAGAGAAAACTAATCTCATCCTCCAGCCTTCTGTAAGTCAGTGTACACATTTGTAAGTGGCTAGCTTGCGTTTTGCTGTTGATTTGCACGAGGAGCAACTTGGCAATCTGCGCCGTGTTACGCGTGCCTTGCCAAGCGCCTTCATTCTTTGTCCTCCAGGTTATAGCTAAGGTAAATGGGGGTAACTTCGGACACGGGGTAACACCCGGACATAACTCGCTATTCAGAAACAAGAGAAAGATTCGGATATATTTCACTTGATTACTACCTGCCAAAGCGCTAACAAATCTTCC